ACCAGGGCCATTGCCTTTGCCTGGATCCTAGTCTGGAGGGGAGGTTTACAACCTCTATAGACCCATATTGACATGATCTTGCTATAGTCTAGTAGCTCCACTTGACCTAAAAGTGGAATCAGGTTTAATAAAGGAAGTGGGTGAGACACGTAGAAAGTGTACCAGCGCTACAGCCCAAAAATGGACCAAAACCGTCTATAAGCAAATGACTGTCTCAATGTCCGATTGACCCATAAGTAGATTAATACTAAATCGACCTCAATTACCATTGACTCATAGCATGTTACCCATACTGACCACATGATTTAACATCACCTACCCTATGTTAAACATGTATTTCATTTTTGTTATACTTTTTGTGAGATAGTTAAATAATTTGGTCCATTATTGAGTCCCGTTAACTCAGAAAATAGAGAGTGAGACAGAAGGTTTCCGATATTGTACTGTTTTTGCTATAGTATCGCTGATGTCTCAAAGCGATGGACCAAAACCGACTTTATACTCGTACTCAACCGGACGACCGGACGACCGGACATTGGATATGTATGTGCATGTATGCATGCGTGTGCCAAGACCGCTGTGTACCGGTACCGGTATGCTATGAAAACCCATACAAATGTTACTCACGTAACGTTACCCTCAGAGCCCTTATGTACCCAGTCCCGGTACCCAGTCACCTTAAGTCCAGTCAATACCAGATACTGCTTCTACCAAGAGAAGAGTACAATATACGTCACATTCTACATAAGAACTCATGAATTCGATAGGAAGAACCACACAAGCCAATAACACAGAGAGACTCATTCTTCCGGCAGCATTGTTACTCGATCGTACAGTTAGTCTTGATAGTCCACTAAATACTAAAGAGCAATGTTACTCGAAACAGGTCCCTCTATATCTGTAGCTTTTTCAGCATCGTGGAAGAAGTCAAGCAACAAACTCTCACAAAATCGATTTCCTGTTAACTCGAAACTCGACATCGACAATGGCAATGGCCGCCGCTACCGAAGATGATGGATGGGTGTATCCGTACAAGAAGGAGCACCAGACTGCCATGGTGAGCTTCATGTCGCATTTGCATGACCGCGTCTATCCCAAGAATCAGGAGTTCACAAAGGAAGAAATCCTTGCCATCAAGCCATCCAATGTGAAAGCATGGTTGAATTTTCGTGCTTATGGAATGGACAACCCACAAGAGGGTGAATTTCCTACTCTTATGCGCTCCGGATCTGTTGGGAAGCTGAAGCAGAGTGTGAGCTGGTACATGGTAAACAAGCATGTTGCTTGGATTGATGGAGTTGGTGGCAATCCAACGCAACACGTTTCGCTGAATGAAATGATAAAGAAGATCGAACGCCATGAGGCTCGCGATGAAGGGAAGGATGCCAATGACAAGCGGGCGTACAACAACGCAGAGTTTTACAAGATCTTGGAGCTCTTCCGGGCCAAATCAGACTTCAACAACAAATTCAAGTATCCCATGATGTCCCTCTGGGCTTATCATCTCATCCATCGACTTGATGACACCTGCCACTTCAAAGTGGACTCTCCTCATGGATCGGCGGAGCTACCATTTGCCATTTTCACCAAGACAAAATGGTCCAAGAATGTGCGCAGCTTGAAAGACTGTCCGGATCAGATTCTTCTTGCTGCGGACGAGTGGAAGGTCTGCCCGCAGCTCAACCTCGCGATCTACTTGGATATGTGGCTCGAGCGGAATCCTGACGCTGTGCATATGTTTACGACAAACGACGACACGAAGAAAGGCCCAGCGAACTTGAACCAGCAGTACGGAAACCGGATTAAGAAAGTTGTCTGGGACCATGCCGAATTCAAGGTGCTGGAAGATCAAGCGGCCTCTGACACAGATAAGAAAGGAGTTGGCACTCATAGCATGAGAAAATATGCGGCAACAAAAGCCTCACGGAAAGGAGCAGACACAAGAAAAGTGGAGTACCGTGGAAGGTGGATTGGAGAGAAGACTGGTCGTGTGGTCTGCATTCGCTACATTGACAAGAAAGACCACTACGCCGATGCCTTTGTTGCTGGTGTACTGTGTGATGGTGGTCCCATCAAGTATGAAGCTCGCGAGAACATTGCTGATGAGTGGCTCTTCACTCATGTCGTCAGCCATACCTACAAACGACTTGGGGATGTCAGACTCTGCCGCGTGCTTGGCCTTGCAAAGCTTTGGGCTGCCTTCGATCCTGATGCCTGTCAGCTACTTCCAGAGGACGACTATGAATACATTCGTACTATGTATGTTGCCACTTATGGGCAAGTTAATGGAAATCCGGTCAAGAAAGTTCCACTCGAAATCTACAATGTCAATGGTGAACTTGAGATCAAGGCAAGAAACAACAATGGACCACCAACCGGAGGAACAGCAGCGGCTCCTACTGGTGACGGCGGCACAGGAAATGCCATGGGTGGACCATCGAACTCCCAAGTCATTACTTACTTGAAGAGCGTGGAACAGGTTATGCTGAATAATTTTCTGGCACAGCAAGCTCGCGATGAGGCTCAGCGTGTTTGGCTCCAACAGATGTTCGACAAACTGATAGCCAATCAGAGGCGATTCGGCGCTACACTGCCACAGGCATTTACTCGACAAGATCCGGCGCAGAACGCTGCCAGAAGGGCTCATGCGAATGCCCAAGCTGAACAGCAACAGCAACAACAACAACAACAACAACAACAACCAACAGGAACAACGCGACAGGGGGAAATCATTGTTCACACTGAGAGGCTGCTGGTTGGCAATGATCCAAGTGCAAGACTCATCGATCGTCCTCGCTCAATGCACGAATTGTGGGAGGAGTATCTACATGGTGTCGGCAACAACAAGCCAGCCAAGGACTTCTCTGTTGCCGAACGAAACAACAAAGTGGGTGGCATCAAGCAGAAGTACTACAGGCGAAGAAAGGCCTGGAGAGCCCAAGAGTTTCTAATTATCCGCTGTGGCTTCACCAACCATGAGGCGAACGCAAAGCTCCAAGCTTGCTATGGTACGTCTTTGGTCAGCAAGATCCTCAACAAGCTGATCAAAGACAGCAACAACAGCGCCTACCCCAACATCGCTCCCCCTGGTGTCAAGAAATTCCACATCCACCCAAACTTGCATCCACAAGTTGTGGATGCGCAGTAAGCCATGTGCTTACCAGTGAGAGCCTTTCAGGCTCGCTGGAACTTGGGGATACTTATGGGACCTGGGATGGTGGAAGGACGGTGGAAGAATCAGGTAAGTGCTTTTTCCTCTCCTCTTCCTCTCCTGTACACCATGTACTGGCCCTACAGAGTATCACTCACAGTGACCTATTTCGTCCTTTTCTCCTGAAGAAGAGGGCATTGTTCTTGGTGCTTCCACTGAGTCACTGGAGATGAACTGGAGGAGCTGGCAGTTGAGCGATACAGTAGGATTAGGGATTAGAGCTGGGCTATCGTAGCTCCAAATCCCTGGTTCCGGGCCTTCCACTTGTTAGAAAGCTGGAGGCAGTTTCAATGATTGTATTGTGCCTCTCGATGTGCCCAGAGACATCTATCTCTATCAGCTGTGAGCTACATGGACCAAGATTGTTCTGGGAAGCTCAAACTAGTTCAGGAAGGGCTGTTTCAGTCCTCTCAGGCACCACTAGCTGGCTATTGCTTATCAAAATAGGCCACGGACAGGCAGTTAGTTCTGTTCGTTCACTCCTTCTCTCAACACGTAGTTCTGTGGGTTAGTTCCTGGATGGTTGCTATCCGATCGAACATGCTTAGGCTGCTGAAAAGGATAGAACATGTAGGAAGCAATGCAAGGACGCATAGCTTGCTTCCTTGCTTCTCGCTCAAGCCGAAGGAGAGGGGGCCGGATGAGCTTCAAACTTCAAACAATGCATCAAATCCAAACCTGCTGAATGTCAGGTGGAACCAAAACCAGTTGCTTCGGACAAGAGCGCCAGGCTTGCCTCCTAGCTAGTAATTGATGCGCGTATCGAGGCAGCCAGCTTTCATCATGATTTCAAGCATGAAGGGGAAGGGGGAAGCAGCATGGGTGGGTGCTGAGCAGCTGCATGTTTCTTCGACTCAACCTCCACTCTTCCGCTTAACAGACCTCGTATAACAAATAAACAACCTCTGCCCTCTACATGTACACGAACAGCCAAGCCTGGGGCATCCTGGTGTGCCTCTCGTTTCGATCCAAAAAATCTGTAGGTCGGTGCTCGGGTGGCTAGCTACTACTAGCTAGTATCAGCAGCTGCAGCGCTGCAGCTGTATGTAGCAAGCAACCGATACCGGTATGTACCGGTACTACATGCGCACAGATGCATGTTCAAGCCTCAAGCGCCGCAACCGCAACACTAAGTCTTTTCTTTCTTGGGCTCTTTTGTCTCCGAGGCTCCGAGTTTAAATTTCTCCGAGTTTTTACAACGTGCCGCCGAACGGAATCAAGAAGTAGTCCGTCTTGTCGCTTTCTACTGTTGTATATGTATGTACCGCTACTACAAAAAAAATGATGCAAAATGTTATCTATGTACTGTGCACGGTACATATCTTATTATTCGGACGGTTCAAACGAAAGAATTAAAAAAGGCAACAGCTGCGGAACAGCCGCGCCTCCATCACCCGACGACGACCACTTACTTACATGGCGAATGGCGACTCGACTCAACAGCTACTCAACTCCTCTTCCTAACGATTTGATTCGATTCGAGTGCCTCGAGTAGTAGCTAGTATCATACTCGAGTACTGCCTACTGCCTACTAGTACTCCGCTGCCTAGTCACAATACATGTACAGCTCTAGCTTGCTAGCCAGTACTACTGTACTAGTACGCCAATTACGGCACTGTACAGTACCGAGACAATTTTGGAAGTTTCGAAGAGCTTCGGACAAGAAAACGGTGAACCCAACGGAAGAAACAGGAGGCCAACATTCTCGAGTACGATTTACGTGATGTACTCGAGATCAATAATGACTCCGTCCACAACACCTCTGCCAAATTATTTGAAAGCCTGGACCTGGTCTCACAAATTGAACTGCTCAAAAGCTCTTTCTGTCAACAACTCATCACCTCTACAATACTCAAGCCATGACTATGCAAAAGCCTGTCACCGCCAAGAGCACCAAATCAGTGAAATTCAGCACTGCTGGACCCACATTTATAACCAACTCAATGATCAGTATGCCCAGCTATGCATTGTCTGATTCTCTCAAGGAACGACTCTGGCTGGACAGTGAAGAGATTGCAGCCATGATCCAAAACCAAGATCAAGAATCCGCAGCACAAGTCCGTGGCCTTTCTCCCAAGCAATACAAGCACCGTCATGGTTTCGTGCAAACCATCTTGGCCCAGCAAGAGGAACAACGCGAAGAATTGGGAGGCACTGATGAACGCGGAATCCGAATGATGGCATGTGCCCTTAGCAAGCCAGATCAAAAGAAGGCACTCCAGCTGGCTCGTCTAGATGCTATGGAAGCCCATGATATCCACAGGTCCAGTGCATGCTACACTGACAGCCCACTCAAGTCGATTGAAGAATACACGAGACGAACCACCTTTGTGCCCGTCAGACGTCGTCGTGTGGCCACTGCACGCGGAGCTTAGGATGCAACAAAACGTTCATTCATTGTATCATATCATATAGAGAGAGTAGCTATACACAATAGAGATAAAGGCTGTAAACGACCAGAATGTACTAAATGAAACCATTTCGAAACCATTCCACAGCTACAGCAGCACAGTGCACAGCTGCACAGTCATGCAGTGAGTTACCTTTTAAAGGCAACCTCGGCCAGCATCTCAGCCGTCTTGTCGAACTCAAGGCTAGGAGCTTGCATCATGGACGCTTACGCGCATTGAGACTCGACACGAGCTTCTGCAGGCTGTTGATGGGTCAGGTTATACGGTGGATGTTTGAACAAGCTATGAAGAGGATACTACGAGTATAAAAGGTACCCATCCCTTTTAGTACACACTCTACATATAAAAGCTACCCTGCCCTTTCTGCAACATATAAAAGCTACCCTGCCCTTTCTGCAACATAGTCTACGCAAGTGTACTTAGTGCATGCAGCAGAGTCAAAATGGCCAGGGTATACCTACACCACCTTTATTCTGCAGAGGAGATGCCTCGGGTCCTCTCATGGTCGGTGGTGGGCGCTGTCAGTTGTGTGGATAGTTGGTTCAGTAGGATTAAGGATTACAAGTATGTATGCGGCTTTGGCTCTCTATTACTGGAGTACATGTACTCGTACTGGTTCGAGGCAGAGTTTCAATTGCCTCTTGAGACCGGGGACACGGGGAGACCGTAATGGATCAAGCAATCTATAAGCAATCTTATCAACTGTGAGCTACCTTGACCAAGTTTGTTCTAGGAATTTCAAGAAGGGCTATTTCAAGTCCTCTTGGGCACTTTGCACACTGCGGTATTGCTTATGAGGCAGTATTGGCTGGCCCCCCGCGTATTAGTTCACTCCGCCACCTCCTTCTCCCGACACCAATTGTCGGTAGTCCTCTGGGTTAGTTCCTGGGTGGGTGCTATCTCTGCTGAAGAACCCATCTACTCCTGGAGTAACTGTTTGGCTGCTGAACCGATCGAACATGAAGGAAGCAAGGCAAGGACGGCGCATCACTTCTTTGCTTCTTGAGAAGAAGGGGCCGCGATCATCAAATCAAATCAAACCCAAACCTGAATGCCAGGTGTAACCATCGCCAGTTCTAGCTTTGGATATGAGTGCCGGGGGTGAGTCACTGCTTCTGGCTTGCTAGTAGCTTTGTATTTGATACGCGTAAGGAGCGAGGCACCACCCAGCTTTCCTCATGTTTCAAGCTCCACTCATACCTTTGACAGCCTAACCCCCACATCCAAGCCATTTGCTTGGAACTGGAGCATCCACGTACTAGTAGGCCACTGCTTGAATGACAAGTTTCGATCCAAATCTAAACCGGCAGTCTGGCTAGAGTACGGGTTGGCTACAGTACAATACAGTACTGTACATCGTAGCTAGTCGGCTGTAGCGGTACATGCTTTCCTTGAGCTTCGCACTGCTTCGCTGAGTCTTTTGCATGTCCCCCCAAAAGCCTATTGAGATTTAGAAGCCCGTCTTTTGCAGCATACTATTCGGACTGTTCCAACGAAAGAGTTAAAGCGCAACAGTTGAGAAACAGCTGCGAAACTCACAGACACAGCTCAGACACACAGCTTTCCATCACCAATGACTCGACGACTCGACTGAACCGACCAAGCTCCCTTTCCTTCGGTTCTCACAAAATTGAACTACAACCTAAAAAAGCTCTCTCTCTCTCTCTCTCTCTCTCTCTCTCAACAACTCATCACTTCTAACGATAGCCATGACTATGCAAAAGAGCACCAAATCAGTGAAATTCAGCACTGCTGGACCCACATTTATAACCAACTCAATGATCAGTATGCCCAGCTATGCATTGTCTGATTCTCTCAAGGAACGACTCTGGCTGGACAGTGAAGAGATTGCAGCCATGATCCAAAACCAAGATCAAGAATCCACAGCACAAGTCCGTGGCCTTTCTCCCAAGCAATACACGCACCGTCATGGTTTCGTGCAAACCATCTTGGCCCAGCAAGAGGAACAACGCGAAGAATTGGGAGGCACTGATGAACGAGGAATCCGAATGATGGCATGCGCCCTTAGCAAGCCAGATCAAAAGAAGGCACTCCAGCTGGCCCGTCTAGATGCTATGGAAGCCCATGATATCCACAGGGCCAGTGCATGCTACACTGACAGCCCACTCAAGTCGATTGAAGAATACACGAGACGAACCACCTTTGTGCCCGTCAGACGTCGTCGTGCGGCCACTGCACGCGGAGCTTAGGATGCAACAAACGTTCATTCATTGTATCATATCATATAGAGAGAGTAGCTATACACAATAGAGATAAAGGCTGTAAACGACCAGAATGTACTAAATGAAACCATTTCGAAACCATTCCACAGCTACAGCAGCACAGTGCACAGCTGCACAGTCATGCAATGAGCAGGGTCGGCGTCTCAGCCGTCTTGTCAAACTCAAGGCTTGGAGCTTGCATCATGGACGCTTACATGCATTGAGCCTCGACAAACAGTGATGCCGTGAAAACACAATGCGACGATGAGGAGGAGTACCGGAATAGCTTTTGTGTCAATCCTGGCTTGTAGCGACGATTCCTTGCTCGGTGACGCAGATGAGTGATGCCATCAGGTCCAGAACTGATAGGAAAGCTTCGTCGTAGCTTCATCGATGGCTGGCACTCCCAAGTCCCCCTTCTAGCACCTTGATTGGTACAGGCGACATGGCGCACAGTCAAGCCGAGAGAGGACGTCTCGATTCCAGCACTCAATTCATTACGACAGCAGAGGCTCTTCACATCATTGCTTCGGAGTCTCTGTTACTCAATGAAGTTGCAACGTTGTCAGGCGCTCGTCTAGTTTGGCTCACCCCTCCCTGTGTGCATGCTGCGTACTGTACTTGGCTTGCAAGAGCAAGTTGCAAGAGTAAGAACGCATGACAAGGCGGCAGCAGCACACACATCGACGTCGCTAGCCAGCTAGTACTAGCCAGATGAAGCTTTCATAATCTCTAAAAGAGCTTCCCTAACCTGGCTCCCCCCGACTTCTTTAGATAACTTCCTAGCTAGCTACTAGCTAGTAGTATCTAAACCCCCCTTTCGTTTCTCTAGCTAGTAGACCCACTGTTCGTTCAGCTGTCAGCGCTTTGCAAGAGCCACCGGTACCGTGGAAAAGACCTGGCCACGTGAACACGGGAGCACTCGTTGGCTCATTGCCTCCAACCTCCAAGACTGAACTAAGCAAGGGTTCGCGATCTGCAAAGAGGTGCAGCGAACGGTTTGCTGCAACTTGTTGGGTCTTCTTGACCACTCGTTGCTACTTACTACCCAAACACAGAGCAAGAGTTGCGTGACAGTCCTTTGACCATGGTTGTCAACATGAAGGATACAGCGATGATGAAGGAAGCGGAATCTCCGCTTAGGCAGGCGATGAATGTCGCAGCATCCACAGATGATTACGATCCACTCACGGGTATAATGCTCATGCCGCAATCGTCAGGTCCGCAAAACGATACGTCCTGTCCTGGGGCATATTCCCACACACCTGGCATGCAAGTCCAGAGAGCTACCACCCCGAGCCGTTCTTCTTTCTTGGGTCCCATTGATCATCATCATGAGGATAATGATGATGCAGACGAAGAGGTGGGAGTTCCTTCACCAAGAGTGTTGAGTAGTAGCACGCACAACGACGGACCAGCAGATGCACAACCAAGAGCGGTGAATGAACGCAGTTCAGACCCTGAAGATGAATCTCAAGACGAATCTCCTCGTGTGGGAGAGGAAAATGGTTTGGCTGTAGCTCAACTTGTGGATGAAATTTCGCCCCACAAGCTACCTCGAGCTCAGACTTTTGACGGGGAACGAGCAGCCGCCAAGAGGAGGGACCAGAAGACCAGACAAATCAGAACCATTTTTCTGTTGGGAATGATTATCCTTGTTGTCATTGTTATTATCCTGCTAGCTATTCTTATACCAAGAACGGGACCCACGAAAACTGCAACAATTATTGTGCCACCACCTGCTCCCATCACAGCTGCCCCCACATCAGCACAAGGATTCCTTCTTTCCTTGTTGGACAAAGGCACGCTTCGCGCAATGGAAGATACCAATTCACCTCAATTCAAAGCACATGAATGGCTGTTAGAAGACTCGGATCAGTTGCCTTTTTGTTCCAAGGAACGCCTAATCCAAAAGTTTGCTCTTGCGACGCTCTACTTTGCAACAAATGGGGACCATTGGGAAGAAAACACCCACTGGCTCAACCATAGCATCCATGAGTGTGAGTGGTTCCAAAAGCCAAACTTTGCGGTGAAAGATATTGTTGCGCAATTTGTGCTGGGATACCTGGATGGTTTCTTGGAACCTCCACCATCCACACCCTGTGACAACAATGGCCTGTTCCAACACCTATGGTTGGATGTGAACACGCTTGTTGGCTCACTGCCAACGGAGGTTTACATGTTGACATCATTAAAGACACTGTCACTTGACCGGAATCAACTGGAAGGGACCATTTCAAGTCACATTGGGCGAATGACAAATTTGCAAGGACTTTCCCTGAGTGGCATGCTTCAGACGGGTACCATACCAACAGAAATTGGCTTGCTGACAAACTTGAATATTCTCTTTTTAGATACCAATCAACTCAACGGCCAGGTTCCTACGGAGCTCTGGAAGCTTACCAATTTGGTGGACCTTGCTTTGAGTGCCAACTATGATTTAGAAGGAACTTTGCCCTCTGAGATTAGTGCGATATCCAAGTTGAGATGGTTTTTATCAGAACAGAGTGAATTCACAGGTAAGATTACAAAAGTTCCATCAATGCAACTGAAAACATTTTTGGAGGAGACGCCAACTCTAAATTCGACCTTGTTCCAATCTGATGCTTTCAATAGGTACAATCCCTTCTGAACTGGGCAATCTTCCATTGCTTGAAGTTCTTGTGCTGGCTGAGAGTAGGCATACTGGAGTTATTCCAAGTGAACTTGGGAAGCTAACAGCGCTGTCAGTACTGACCTTTCAGGACAATTCCCTGGAGGGATCTTTGCCTACAGAATTGGGCCTTCTAACTGCATTGACTGTTCTTCGAGGAAACAACAATATGCTCTCTGGCCCTCTTTGTAGTGAACTTGGTCTCCTCAAGGATCTGGAGCAGTCCCTGAGCTTCCACTTCAATATGCTCTCTGGCCAAATTCCAACCGAGCTTGGACTCTTTCAGAGGCTTCCAGAGCTTGTGCTACACAACAATCAATTTTCGGGCCAGATCCCGTCAGAGTTCGGAGAACTGGTATCATTGCAGCTTTTGAGTCTTGCCAACAACTCACTATCAGGCCTGGTTCCAGAGGAGTTTGCCTATCTCCAGCCACATGCCCATACAATCCGTTTGGATGGTAATCCTTTGCTTTCAGGGCATCTTCCTGCAGATCTCTGTGCTCTCAATGGTACTTGCAGCAGTGATGCTTGGAACCCATGTATACCTCCTTTTGGTTTTGTATTTGATTGCACTGAGAAACTTTGTGGCTGTGGTTGTATTTGTGAAGATCTTTTTAATGGACCATAGCAGCCACAGTTTCCACCCCACTTTGTGGGCTACCGTAGCTGGCTAAATAGCGTTACATGTATCCGTTCGGCTTCCTTGTTCAAAAGTTACAGTACGAGTACTTGGTTCGGCATGAAATCTTGGCGTCCAGCACCCTTCTGCTAAATGTAGCTATTTGTACTTGCTACATGTAGTTGGCGTTTTGAAGAGGAGGTCAAATAATACTGATATGCACACTAACCATAAATTTCGACTTATCTAGAGTATTCTATCTGAGTTGGCGAGGATCGATGGATGCAACCCTTCAGGTCCACCTTCGAAACGTGTCATCCCATGGATGGCTACGGAGGCGAGGGCGACTGGGGTTGGCTGCCGGTTGCTCCACCAAGGTACATTCAATCGCTTCGCCTGGACTGTTTCTCGGCTTTGTTTGCGACAACGGCCAAAAACTGTTCTCGCTGGATCCAAAAAAGTTGGGCATCGTGGACATTGTATCGCTGACGATTCCAAAAAGCTGTGAGAGTTTTTCATCTCTGAGTTCTTTAGCTGCTTTGAAAAGAAGAGCATCAGGCGTAACATGAGTTCTGGCTGAGGCGCCGAAAGCAACACCACGTGCGCGTGCTTCTTCCTGGGCAACCGCAACTGTACTCTGTTCGGTGTAAGTGGACGAACTCGGCCGGGCCACCGGCTCCTCACACGTTACCAAGGATTCATCATCCGAATCAGAATCTACCGTTTCAACAATTACCTGCTGCCTTCGAGCCTTTTGTTCACTTTTCTTTGGAGAATCTTGGCGCAATCTTGAATCAAGAAGGGGGATTTTCTTTGGCTGGAGCTTGCTCCGGCTGGGAAAGTCATCCATAGTGTTGTCCACTTCTTCTGGCTCTTCCGTTGTGTCCAGCACGGAGTCCACCCTATCCATCAGCGCCGGCAAACCAGCAGGAGGGTCAACAGCTTGGCCGTTTGAAAATTTAACATTGCTGCTACGAGCAGAACCCCGAGACGCCTTTCTGTTGGATCCGCTGCTGTCGGTGTTCTGGTTTGGGCTTCCCCAAAATTGTGAAGCTTGGCGGATTCGAGACACTTCATCGGATTGCTGCTCTCCATTTTCGTTGGCAGGAAGACGACCCGTAACAATGTCTGCTTCGTCTCCAGAGTCTCCAGCTAAGAGTCCAACGAGAAACGAACCAGAATCATCCACTTCCGCCACATGCAGGGAATGTTGATCAGCAGATCTATCCTCGATAGCACTAATGTTGTTGCCAAAGCGGTCCAGCCAAGTTCTGTCCAGCACCGGAGTTTCACAAAACGAACCATCGTTTGACATCAACGAATCGTTAATCGCTGACTCATCTTGACCATCCTGCAGATGGAACGATACACACATGCCTCGTTTGCTCGGTGATTTGGTTGACTTGCCAGGTGATCCCAACCCTTCGTTTGCAGCTGATCCCGTCGAGTTGCTCGACCTGAGGGTAACAAATGACACTGTAGAACAGCGCGATTCACACTTGGGCGGCTTCAGCAAGTCACCTGGGATATTCTTTGGATCTGCATCGGCCCTTAACGAGGCCGCAAACTGTTTCTTGGCGTTCGTTTTGAACGAGTCGTCGAGGAGCCCAATCCTGCAGTAAGAATCCTCCGACCTTTCACATGAATCACGGAAGCAGCCGGATCTTGAAGTGTCCTCTGGTTCCAAAACGTACGTGCGGGAAACGCTGCTTGCATCCTGATCCGGGGGTGTTGTTGCTTTGGTCGAGACCGTGGGAAACGCGTTGGCATCTTCGCTGATAGTCGACGAGCAGACTGTGGTAGGAGTAACATTCAGTCCTTTTGGTGGGGAACATGAGTTTCTTTCGTTGCCTCCAGATCCTGGTACAGGACCGCCGGACCGAAGAATCTTTAGGATGGCGTCGGGGACATCTGGCATTGTGCTGCGGATGTTGTATTGGCAGCTTGAAACTGTCTCAAACTGGTATTTTGCACCGATCATCGAGTTGACATCTGTGTTGCAATCCTTCTCTGACGACGGAAACAGAGATTGCAGTTCTTCCCGTCTATCTTCAGCGCTCGGTTCTGCCAGTGTGTAAAAGCTCTCAAATTTGGTCTCGCCTTCCCTCGAGTCAGTCGCCAGTGAACTACGCGAACCATAAAAAGAATCCCCATCAGTTGTGGAACCAGTGGTTTCGGGGAAAAGATCCTGTGGTTCAATGTTGGCAGATGAGTCACTTGTACTTTCCAATCGGTCAATTCCTTCATCTGGGCTTCCCTCAATCTTGCCACTGGTGGCACTCCTCCGAGCCTCAAAGGTGGAGAATGCGTCTGTCAGGAGAACACCTGTAGTGGAACCAGTGGTTTCGGGGAAAAGATCCTGTGGTTCAATGTTGTCAGATGAGTCACTTGCACTTTCCAATTGGTCGATTCCTTCATCTGGGCTTCCCTCAATCCTGCTGGTGGCACTCCTTCGAGCCTCAAATGTGGAGAAGGCGTCTGTCAGGAGGACACCTGTAGTAGACTTGACGTTGTCACCACCTAACATGGGTGACACGGCAATGGGAGAAGAAGCCTCAGAGTCGCTGTCCTCCTCGCTGGAAGAAGAGAAGCGACCTTCAGGCCCGTAACGAGGAGAAGCTAGTGTGACAAAGGCTCCTTGAGTTGCATCCACAATTTCGCCTTCACTCGAGGAGTCACTCTCGGCACTGGGGGCTTCATAGTAACCGCTCGCATCCGGCTTGAAGTTTGGATCTTTGCAGCAGCTGTCACCGGGTGGGTCCACCTCTTCTGACGGAAGATTCCGGGCACACTCAGCTGGCGGAGTCTCAGCTGGTGGATTCTGAATAGAGTAGTCCAGTGCTCGAGGTTCTGGCATAGCCTTGACGGGCGTGACGATGTTCTCATATTCAATGGGTGTCTCGATATCTGTGCTCTCTTCGCAGCGAGAAAACGAAGTATGGTAGATGTTTTCACTCCCTTCTGGACTTGGCTTAGAGGTTCTTTCAAAATCGACCCACTGACTACTCGGTTCGTCTTCGAACGGACTCTCATGAACGGTGGACATGGATCTCACAGAGGCACTGTAAGGAGATCCGGCCGATTTGCTGCTCTCTGGAGACGAACTAGTCCAGCTGTCGCTGTTACTGTTACTGTTGCTGTTGCTTTTGGATCTTGCGCGTGTGAGCATATATTGAAGATAGTCTTGCTGCTCCCGCACTAGTTGGCGTTTCTCCCTCAATGTTGGACTCTGGGCGACAGCGCACGAGTTTGGCTTCTTGACGGGCGTACTGTGCTCGCTTCCACTTCCGTTGCTGCTGCTGCTACTCGGAGGTGTCCCTTGTTGGCCTTGCTCAAGATACTTCTGGACCAGACGTTGTCGTATTTTACTCGGACTTCCTGTGAATCGCTCTGCTGTCGCTGCCCTAATAGCTGCTGTTTTTACCAGGGCAGAAAAGGAATCATCACTTGTTGAGTTGTCGTCAGCGGTGCTTTTCGCCGTCTGATTCCCATTGGATTCGCACCTTTCATCAACACTGGACTTGCATGCAGGCTTCTTTGGAGAAACGTCAGGAGTCCAGACCGGCTTTGGAGAAACATCAGGAGTCTTTTTTCCAGAAAACGATGCCGCATGCCTTGCTAGTAGACGATCCCTGAGTGACACGGTCGCCCGAATCAGCGCCGTGTCGCCAAAGCTGGTGGCAGTGGATACGGACGAGCTGTGTTTCTCCATCAACTGGCTCTGTAGAGACCCACCCAAGGGCGTTCTGATCGGACTAGTTTCTTTGGTCTTGTCTTCACCGCGGCAGGCGGCAGACACGGACGAGCGGTGCTTCTCCATCAATTGATTCCGTAGGGATTCGCCCAAGGCGGTTTCGACCGGAGCGGTGTTTTCCTTGTTCTGCTCTTCAATAAAAGCAGGATTGTCCTCCAAGAAGGACACACGATGCTTTTCTGTGAGGACTTGGCGCAAGGATTCATCTAGAAATGTGACCTTTGGCGGGGGTGTCTTTGCAAGCAGGTCTTGGCCATCCGAAAAGGAAGACCATTGCTTCTCCGTCAATCGCTCTTGCAAGGGAGTGGGTGTCACCAGGTTGGAATCATTGAAATCCGTCTTTGGTGTTTCCTCTGCTGGGGCAACGTCATCCGACAACTGCTTGTCCACGCTGATGAGCTTTCGTTGCGACGTCACGAGCTCATCGTCTTCACCACTAGAACTGCTGCTATTATCGCCATCGGTCAAGAGCATGTTCAACAAGAGCTCCGAGCCATTGTCAGAATCCGGTGTTTCGGCCAGGTGTTTCTCCATGACTCTTTTTCGTTGGAGTGGTGTCGAGTTCCAATCAAACTTCTTGGTTGGACTCAGGACATCTCCTTCTGACAGATGCTTCACCAAGAGACGCTTTAGTTCACCATCATCAACCGCATGGTCCTTCTCACCATCATCAGCAGCAAAGGGTGAGACGGACGCCAAGGATGTGGTGGTGGTGTCAGGACTTGCGAGAAGCGGCACACCACTGCTAGTAGTATGGGTGGAGGAGGGAATGGCCGACAATAAGGGTGGATTGGACTTGGAAGAGGAGGAGGAAGTCAAGGAGGTCACCCTTACGCCGGAGGAGGAAGTGGAGGATGGAATGCGTGGTAAAAGGGCGGTGGACGAGTCGGTGGATGAGTCTTGTGTGGAACTGGAGGTGCCATCGTAATCCCCTGTGAGGAGTCCAGGCAACAACGTCATGGGAGACACCATGGAAGGAGACACCATGGAATCGGTATCATCATCAAAGTCGAGCGCTTCTTGGTTGTTGGAGGCTGGGGATGGAGTTACGGTTGCGCCTTGGTTCCAGGAGGTGGTATGATGATTTGTTGCCGTGGCATCATCAAAGTCAAGCGCTTTTTGGCTGTTGGTAGTAGCTTGTGATGGAGTTATGATTGCGTCTTGGTTCCAGGAGGTGGTTTGATGATTCGTTGCCGTGGCATCATCAAAGTCAAGCGCTTTTTGGTTGTTGGTAGTAGCTGGAGATGGAGTTATGGTTGCGTCTTGGTTCCAGGAGGTGGAATGATGATTTGTCGCCGTGGCTTCTACATGTGCTACAGGACTGGGATGATGCGTGGCAAACGGAAGAAAGGCATCTCCACTTCTATTGGTCACATCATCCGGGCTTGCCCACGTTGTCACTGTAGCTGCAACCGCTGCTCCCAATGGTGCCGGTGAGGTAAAGGCATTGCCATGATGATTGCAGGTCCAAGGGGAACTCTTTACAGAGGGGTTTATCGTGTTGTTGGCGGCAGGTGAGAAAGCATCTCCACTCGTGTCGTGCAATAGGCTCACATCGTTCGCTCTTGGCTCGGGATGTTGTTCCACCAGCAAAGTATCCATAGGAAGGAGGGGATCATCAATATCCGTGACTGTCATGGTGGGCATAACATTGGCGTTGTTGTTGCTGGTATCGTTGGAAGCCCCATCAAAGGATCCATCAGGACTGATAGTGACATCCAGATCGACCGGTCCACCATCCCGGCTAAAGCTGGGTTGTTCCAAAGAGACCAAAGAATCATCCAGATCCACTGGTCCAAAGGAATGTTGATTTTTGGAGTACAGCTTGACTGGAGTAGGCATGCTGGCACTCCTGTGGAAACAATCATGATGATGATGATGTTGTTTGTGGCTGTAGTTGGATGCAGGGATTGTCCGTCCACCATCCTTACTGCTGTTGTCATCGTCCATGTCACAATGATCGCCATCGTCAATGTTGGAGTGGACTTTAAGAAGAGTTCTATTGTCATTGTTTCTGCTTCTGCTGCTGTTTCCACTTCTACTACTACTCCTAGTAGGCCATGGTCTTCTAGCCGTTGGATCATAATAATGGTTGTCGTTGTCGTGAAGAATGGCCACGGAAACCTTGGCAGGCGAAGAGTTTCGTGCTTCTGGCGATGAATACGTGGATGGAGTGGACAGCTGCGAGCTCATCAAGGCAACAGCCTCTGCTGTAGACGACACTACCTTGACGCTGCTAGTACTGCGAGGAGAATTGTTGTTGCTGTATTTACTACTGCTGACGCTACTTCCACCGGGAGATCTTCCCGTCGCTCTTCTGGAAATGGACTTGACCAACCCAAAAAGGCCCTTCTTCTGAGATTACCAATACAAAAAAACAAATAGTAAAGTAAGACACATTCCTCATTCATTCCAAGAAACACAACACTCTCGTCACAAAATGAAAAAGAGTTGAGTAAGCAGATACATACCTTGCTCTCGCTGCTTCCATGTTCGCTGTGTGCTTGATACTTGTGAGGTGGAGTGCCGCCTTTGCCCTTCCTGTTAGACCTCAACATGGTTGCTTTCTTTCTTTCCCTTTCCACCTTTGCTTTGCTCTCTGATCAACCACACAACCACAACAATAATGGCATGCAATACAAGTGCCATCAAGGCGAACGATTTTGGAAGTTTGCCTTCCTCTTTAGCTAAGCTAAATTTTTTGAAACCCCACACCGGCGGAAAATCCACCTTCCTTTGGCGCCAATCTCTCAAATCAGGGACTGACTTCTGACTTCACACCACCCGACTTTTCACTCGACGCGAGCAAGACTGCCACCGGTATCTCGACAATCCGAGGCATCATCCATGTTTGCAGTATAGTACTAGTACAGTACGTAGTCTACATGTACAGTATGTAGATCTAGCCAGCTCACGCAACGCACTCTCGGTCATTGCCACACTTAGACTGGTAGCTATAATAGTCTGACCTTTAGCTGCGATTGCTTCTTCCTCGAAAAGATATTCGATACAGGAACCACACGTCTATAGCCACCTGAAACATACAGCCCCTGCAAATGCCCTACCGGTGCTCTAGATCTAGTAGCTAGTTAGCTAGCTATAGTGTTGACCATTACTAAGTATTTGTTACTTGGATTTCTTCTTTTTGGGTTTTACCGAAAACAATTGCCACGGCGCGACGGTGGTGGCATTGGCCCGTACCGTATGATTATTATTGTTGGGATAGACCACAACTCCCAACGAAGTGTCTCCCGTTTGTTGTTTCTTTGCGCGCGCATCCAGAAACCCATCAAAACAGTGCAACAAGTGTTCCTTTTGATTCCATCCCGATTCGTGTGTACCTTCCGTTAGTTCCCCCCGGAAATGAGCCAAGAATCCTCCTCCATTCTGTGGATGCAACACATCATTGACGGGAAATGTCTTGGGTTTGTTCCAGGACCATGTAGCCAGTGCATAATGGACTTGATAATGCATCATTCTGTCCATGCGCATAATGAGTTTTTGTTTGGCATAGCGAAATTTGGTCAAACAGCGTTTCTTGTCCATGACACTTTCGATCGTGCCGTTTGTGACGGTTGTTCCATCGCAATATTCCAAGACTTGCGGATGAAATTCCATGGCATCATAATTGTTGTTGTTGTTGTTTGACTGTGACGCTAGCATTTGTCGGGTAAATTGCAGGACACTTGTCTGCGGATCAAAAATGACAAAGAATTCGTCAATGTCCATGTGCGCAAAAAAGTGAGCGCCTTTGGGGCCCAGTCGATGCATGGCGGCCAATCCTCCGGCGGCTTGTCCGTATCGTTTCACTTTGCCTTTTTTGACACCCGTTTCAATGGTACAATCTTTCAAGGGAAACCATCGGTACGTGACCAATCCCGCTTGCACATACGGGCGTGTGAGTGTTTCAATCGGTCCATGGGGTGTTTCGTCGTTGTCGTAAATCAAAAAATGATCGAATCCTTCCGACAAGTGATAGTCAATCCATTCGGCAATGCGATGCGTGGTGGTCCGTGTTTCGCGTTGGCCGTACTTGTCGGGTTGTGTCAGATACGAGGATTGGACTCGTGTATATGCCACGAGATTGTAGGGATCTTTGTCGGTTGTTGAAGTCCATCCAAATCCGGCATGACAAATGGGAATTTGGGAGAGTTTGGGTGTCTCGGTCGCAATTTCGACACTCGGGAAATCGATCCATTTGCGCATTCCTTTGGCGCGTCCTTCGGGATTGTGCAATGCGTGCAAGTCAATGTGCAATTGGGTCGTTGTCGAGTTTTGTGTTTGTACCAAATGTTGAAATCGAGTTGGAATTTTGCAGCGAAAGAGGAAATTGTTGCGAAAATCGTCTCCCGTGGGTGCCACGAATTCCGAAATCACAGCCGTGTGTTCCGGAAACATGCAGAGGAACCGATGCGGCGCTTCCATGAACAAATCACCTCCCGATTTTTGATAGTCGCGAAAACAAATGCCTCGATTGAGCCCCACAAAGACAATGTACTGCAAATCGCGGGTTGCAAAGACATCGCCCAAATACGGCAATCCCGTGTCATGGTCGGGTTTGGGGTATTCTCGAAAATCCGTGCAGGCGGACGATGACAATGACATCAGTGATGATGATGATGACAGATCGGTAGTAGTAAAAGTTGTATCGCTGGTTGTAGAAGTTGTGGTGGTTCTCAGATTTCGTTGGTCACTACCTTCGCCTTGATGATGATAGTGTTGTTCGGGCAATCCCGTCAGTTCCACTTCATCCATCTGTGTCCTTCCATTCAGCCTCCAAACGCAAAAGACCAAAGACAAACTGCACACCCACAGGTACGTTCGTTGGTTCCAATATTTCTTCATCCACATTGGTAGTACTGGGAACGACATGGAGGAGGAGGAGGAGGAGCGATGGGATTTTAGCATTGGAGAAGAAGTGGTAGAACTACAGGTACTACCAGAGTCAAGAGGAGAGTTCATTGTGTTGTTGGATTGCATGGTGTTGTTGGTGGCTGAATTTGTGGCTTTCTGGCAAACTGCAAGCGCGGTTCAGTTTTTCGTGACTGAGATGACCCCGTGCGTCTGTGTCCAATAAATAACGATGCACTTCTAGGTTGATCGCGCATACAACTTTTACAAGGTACGGTACACGTGTTCTACAAGTACTGCCTGCAGACCCACAGACATGTACTGTGTATACGTACATGTACCATAGCCAGTAGAGTGGCGAAAACGCATTAAAAGGCATCTGTACGGTACTCGCACACACCGGCCCAGGGCTGGCTCGAGCAAACCGGTAGACGGCCATGGATCGATAATAGGGGAAGGATTTGCATTGTTGGCCGATGAGGGCTAATAAGTGCTCCATCGTGGCTCATCAAGAGCCTGCTTAACGCGGTAAGTACTAGTACTGGCTAGAGCAGCCTGGGGGCGACAGCATGTCGTGGTACCGGTACGCTTTCACAGATGAAGTACCGTACAGCTAGCCTAGCCTGACGGTAGACGCAGATTTTTGCTGCCAAGTGTGAACCCTGGAGGTGCAGATTGTTTGCCGCAAAGGTGCCTGCCTCCGAGGTGTGCACTCTAGCTAGAGGTGCAGGTTTTTTGCTGGCTGCTCTGAGGAGGTGTGCCATCTGGAGGTGCAGAATTTGCGGCTGTGGGAGTTGCCTCTCTTGCTGCTAGTAGTACAGCAAGAGCTACCTGTAGTTCTGGTCCTGTCGGCGTGCCCACTGCTTTGAGAATCGTCCTTTCAGCAGTTGGTTCCATCCCATAGTTGCTCGGGCGTTTGCATGTGAGCCGACGTCGGTGATGCTGTCATCATATTCAATCGAGGCAGTGCCTGGGCCTTCCAGCTTTGAGAGTGGGAGGGTTTGGAGCATACCGGTAGTAGGGTGAGTGTTTGCGTTTTCGGTGTATTTCTTGACAGCCTGGTATACCATGCCAGCATGGATGGCTAGATGTGCGGTTGTTTGTTGCGTGATCGGAGGGAACACACAAAGAGGCACGCGGAGCTTTCTACTTCCGGTGCTTCCTCCGTACTGCGTATGGACGGCACCAAAAGATCCATCAAGTTTCCGCCAACCGTTCAGATTGAAGATCTTCACCATTTTGTTCAGATAGGTCTACTACATGTACGTCATAGTAGCTAGCTAGTGGGTTTAAAACGAAAAGGAGGATAACAGGAAACCAGACACAAAAACACAAACATGTACTGCATTTTTTTACTCCTTCTCCTCCCATCAATCTCCGCCTTTGTGCCCATCGGTGATGTCATCGCCTGCAATCACAATCATCGCAGGGTGGCGCTTTTCAGTGTAGCCGATGTCAAACGCGACTTCGAGCTGAACCCCCAAAAAACCTTCCTCTTGGACGTCCGCGAACCGGAGGAATGGGCCGAGGGTCATCTCGCATTGGCCAGCCCAAACCCTCTATCCACGTTGACGAGTGGCCAATGGATGAATCGAGAGACCGGGAAGATGTCGCCGGGTTCTTATCCTATTGATCGTTTTACCGGCGTCGCTATCTTGCTAAATAGAAAGATCTACATCCATTGCAAGATGGGAGGGAGGGCAAAGCAAGCGGCCGAGTTGCTCACCCAGATGGGATACAAGGAAGTGGTTGTACTCGAAGAGACCTACGATCAACTTGCAGCCGCTGGAATATGCGATGTTGTGGAGGGAGAAGCACAGGGTTTGACGGATTAGTCTTATATATTGATGCCGAAAGCGTCCGAAGAAGGAAGAACACCTACCGCTACACGTCTACTGAACTGAAATGCTGGCATCTGTATGGATAGCTACAGAGTCCACATGAAGGATCCAAGCAGAGATAGGCAAGAAGATGCATTCAGTTCAGTAGCAATTAAGGTCGGGACAGCTCTAGCTAGCCATCTATTTCATCATCTAGAACCGACACTTGCTGCATCGTAATCTGCTTCGAAGGCGACTGATACAATGACGCCTGGGGGCCGGGAAGCACTCCATCCCGCCTTTTCTCTAACTCTTGCACCTTCCTATGGGCGCCCCATTCAGTGTAGTATCTCACAGCTTCTTTCATCCGAAAGGCACCGCCTCCTTGGTCATTCTTTTGGGAAAGAAGAAATTCAGCACAACGCTCACTGCCCAAGGCAGCATCCATTAAGAACCCAGACCGGGCAGCCATGACAACCCCCTTTTGGTATAGTTCCTCCACCTTGTCAGCGCGACCTGAGATTGCAGCGCTTTCAGCGTCGAGAATGCATTCGTAATGGCTGACATTTGGGTTTCCACTTTTGGCCAACTTCTTGATAATAGCTCGCTGTTTCTTGGCCAATTTCAAGAACTTTTTCTTTTTGGTATCTCTTGCCACATGAAACAAGGAGATAGCTCGGTAGAAGGGGTCACCAATGTTCCAAAAGAGACCCACGGAGTCCTTAGCATAGTTGTCGCGTCTTTTAATGGAAAGTTCAGCCCCTTCGGAATGGTGTCCCATTATTGCGCAAAGTCGACTGCGTTCCATATCAAGGGTTTGGAACTGCTGCACCGTTGTCAGCTCCTTGAATCCTGGTAGAGTGGTCTTGTCAACACCAATGTTGGAATCCAAGGTGCCTGTCAACTCCTGCACAACTGATTGGAACATGGATGTGTAGACATAGCATTGGAGCTGTCGAAGCTCCGTCGCTTGCTTGACATATATATGAGTGTCTGCTTCCAAGGACGTCAGGCATACCCCAGCCTGGAAGCCCATAGTAATGTACATTGCGATACACCACATTCCATTTTCAACATCACCAGCACACAGACCAGCATTGTAGCCATTCAATAGAGCCCTTCTACAGTCCTGGTAGGGAAGGAACCAAGGCCTTAACATTGCATTCAGCAGAAAGAGAACTCTTGCAATTGCGCTTCGGCAATCAATTTTTTCAATGATTGCCAAAGCGCAGTCAGCAACTCTGGAAGCACCCTCAATTTCCCCTAAGGAAGCCAGAATCATACCATACAGTGCATATGCGACAGCACTGTAGTCGCTCAGACCGTGCTTGAGCGTTATTTGCAAGCATGCTATTATCACCAAGGGTAGGCGCTTGTCATTGGCAAGATAGCAGCAGCTGACAGTTTTGTCAAGGACATGCATGATTTGCCGCTGAATGGTATCGGTTGAAATGGGAAGTGAATCTATTTCTTCCACTGTTCGCTTCTTCAGAGAGAACAGAGACCCAACTACACGGAAAATGGTGGCCAGTTCAATGGCACTAGCTCGTTTGGGGAACCTATACCCCAGCTTCTTCAAGATCTCCATCCCCTGTCGAACAGACTCCTCGTGCTGGTTCTGCATGAGGGCACTTTCTTGCCTGACATTGTAGGCTCGAAACTTGTCAGGCTCAGATTGTGCGTGAACCAAGACTTCATCACAGTACGCGTTCATTGTCTCCAGATTTGCCCAACCCATGCAAGCTTCCACCTCTGCTCCCAATGAGTACGTATTCAACGTAAAAGTGTAGAGCTCATCTGACCATCTGCTGTCGGGTAGAAGATCTAGACATTTCTTGATATACTGTGATGCACTTACGAAGGAAGAAGCACCAGCCGCATTTTGCGCAGCTTCTGCATTGAGCTTGCCTAACGTCACTCTATCCTTTTCATCCTCGGGGGGAAGACTTTCATTCATGAGGTTCACCGCTGTAAACAAGAATTGTTCCTCGAGGGTACCCTGTTTCACTTGTGCAAGTACAACCCGACCAATGGTTGCCATTGTAACCGGCAAATGAAGAGGGTCGGTTGCTTCCAGGCAGCACTCGTGCACCTTGTCATGGACAAACTGGTAGATGGACAGAGCGGGATGGTGCTCCAAGAATCCTTCTTCTACGGCAGCATCCAGCAAAGAATTCAGAGTGAACTGTCTTTGCGGTGTTTTCAGAGGGTTCGCATCACAATAATCTGACCAAACAATGGCCACCACGTTATCTGGGAGATCTGACCCCAAGCATGCCAAGACAGTCAGTAGCTCGTTAACTTCAGGATCCAACAACTCCATCTTCTTCTTGAGGAGATCCAACACATTGTCGGTGGCGCTGACCTTGATGGCAATTTCCTGTTCATCCCATGTCCATTTCATGAGCCCAAAGTTGTAAATCAACAGTGCCTCCTCGTGGATATGAGAAAGGAATTGCTTCAAGAAAAATGCGTTTCCCATGGTCTTTTTGTGGCAAAGTGTCGCCAAGTTGTCAATTTGTGATTGCTTGTCCATGGAGAGCAGCTCCATCACAAACTCTTGCACCTGGTGCTCTTGGAGATTCCCGACATAAAGTCTTGAAATGTGGAACGTGTCGTTCGCCTTTGCTTGCAGGTTTCGAATTGTCTGACTCAGCATGTGCGCATCAAAGACCTCCTCAGACCGATAACAACCAAGCACCACAAGTCCCTCAATCTGATCATCCGATAGCAAGGTTTCCAACAAGTGCAGCGAGGTAAAGTCGGCCCACTGACAATCGTCAAAGAAGATCATGACACTCTTTGGAAACAAAGCACATAGCTTTTGAAAGAACCGTTGAAAGGCGTACACGGTGCGATTCATTTTCTCTTGCATTGCTTGCTGCCGTTGACGGCGTCGTTGTGGCTTGATGTCGAGGATCTCGTCCATTCCCGAGACCATGCTGGCTAGCAAAGACTGATCCGATCCCAGCACCTGTTGGATTTCTTGGCAGACAGTCTGAAACCGTTCCTCGTCCACTTCTCGGAGTAGGAGTAGTTGGCGACAGATTTCTCGACAAGCTCCGACAATCCCAGCGTATGGCACCTGGGAGTCACGAAACTTGAGATCAAACTTGGTCGCTGCGAACAAACCCTGATTCGTCTTTTCGTTCTCAATGGTCTTTGCCAAGACCGTTTTCCCTGTCCCGGATTCTCCAGAGATCAGAATGAGCTCCTTACCACCCGTGTCTTTTGCTCGTTTGGCAATCTCCCGAAGCGTCGTCGTCTCGTCCGATCTCCCAATCAATCCAAGGCCATAAAACCTAAGTTTGTTAATCGTCATGTCGCGTGTTGCCTTTTTGGTTTTGGACGCACTGGTTGTCGAAGGAGCTAGAATCTCATTGGAAGTCGTCGATCGTCGCGTCGCCGCATCTTTGTCGCCATGATCGCTCGTGCTACTAAAGAAACTTCTTCGACTACTGCCTCGGTTGTAGGCGAGGACGCGGCTAGTAGGAGATGATGCCGATGTGCTGGTGGTATAATCGGCGGTAGAAGAGCCGGTTTTGCCACTAACGGAGGATGCCAAGGTGCTCACCTCATCCGCAGGATCGACTGTTGTGGGGTTGGGCGGCATGATCAAACGCAAAATGAGTTTATGTGGCTGGCCAGAGATTCCAACGGGATGCTGTGGTTCTGAACGGTTCGTGCAATACCGGTACAGAGTTGTGACCTTTGAATGGCGAGTAAAACTCAAACGATAGGAAGGGGGCGGTAGTTTAGGATCGCCTGCGTTTGTGTTTAAAATCAAAATAATGAGCTCATCATCTTCCGCAGTGCAGGTATTCGGGTGTCTCTGGTCGAATTGGAGCTGCTCGTCCGCTGGATAGAATGTCATGATGGTACCGGTGGAATGCAGCAGCGTGAGGATCTTGCTTGGAACTTGGAAGAAGTCGCCGGAAGGTTTGGAAGTTGGAAGATTCGATTCGATTCAAAGGAGAACAAGAAAGGGGGGTGAAGAGTGAAGAGCACTCAAGAGTCACACTGGACATTTATAAAGTCATCTATCTTGCGCCAAGGAACACCGTGACTGGCTTCATAATTTTAAAATTGCTCAGAGGCTTTTAAAAAATTGGTCGTGTTTGGTCGCTTCGTCCTATGATATTTTAATATCCCTACTACAGTATTAATTATGAATTAATAGTACATTGTAGACCACTGGTACCGGTACCACTAGTAGTCTACTAGCTGTGGCAGCACAGTTCGGGGATTGGATGACATGTATTATTATCATTATTATCGTATTTTGGCTTTGATCCTCTTCTTTCTCCTTTTTAAAAATAAGCTCACAGCGCCATTGGGGGGCGTTTGTCCTACCGTACTCGCAGTTTAGGGGCTTGGAAAGCCATCGCGTGCTTGTCAAAGCCGCACATGAATTCACAGCTAGTAGCTACCAGGTAGTAGTGCGGTAGATCGTCTACTAGTAGTTTTTAATAAACCCAAACTATAGGACTGGTTTCAAGAAGGTGCGAACCATACCGGTAGCTAGACTTGCAGATTTAGTTTTGCAGCCAAGGTGTGCACCCAAGACGTGCAGATGTTTGGCTCCGTGACACTATTAAAATAGCTCGGCACTAGCTCGGGGTGCAGATGTTTGCCTCTGAGGTGGTATGGTACTGGTCGACACCCTAGCTACCGTAGTGGTGCAGATTTTTGCCACCAAATACGCGCACAAGAGGTGGAGCAGGCTGCTGCTGCCGAGGTGCACGCTCTAGACAGCTACCGGTACGAGTACCAGTAAAGGTGTAGTTTTTGGCCAGGGAGCATCATTGCCTGAAAAAACATGCCATGTAGAATGATTGAATCAATCGATTCAGTAGCACCAGGGAGGGGATGCACTCCATCCCGCCTTTTCTTTAGCTCTTGCACCTTCCAATGGGAGGAATGAATCTTCTAACTTCTAAGCAACACAATAGATAAATAGATTTGCAAAGAAGAAAACCACAACGTTACTCTACCGGATGTTACTACAAGTCCTTTGTTCAGAGCAATCACCAAGCTACCATTCATTGAAGCAAAAAGGCATCCAAAAAAGACGATTGTAAGAAAGTTCATGTTCGAGAGAGGTTGTCAAAAGCTGTTGAATCACGAGTTGTGATGCAGACTGTTCCTGTCCAAGAAAAAAGAATTCCTGCCAAAAGTGCATGTGTATTGTATGGTTGAAGATTCTGATTCGACTCAATCTTCCTTGTTCGGTTCTGCTTCCTTTGCCTTTGGATGATGATGTTCAAACGACAATCCCAAGTAGGCCCCCAGTGTTGGTTCCATAATAGCTTCGGCGGCATGATCGACCACGGGTACCACGGGTATAATACTCAAGAGTGCCGCCGCTACCGGCGCCATGGTTTTGACTCGTGGCGGCCAACTTTTGGCCATGCCTTTGGGATTTTGTACACCCGCCTCGACCGCATGAACGACTTGATGAATAATCATGGCGGGTACCACGAGACTGGCGGGAATGTGAAAGGCCGTCCAATAGAGTGCCGTGTTTTGTTTTAGCGCGGGAGGAGCATCGTCTTGTTTGGTATAAATATCGGCGGCAATGGCAACGCCACTCAATCCCCATGCTCCATAATAAACCAATTTTGGCAGTAATGCTTCTCCTGCCACGGCTCCTTCACTGGCAAATGCCAAGGGACGATTCTGTCCAACGGCACGAACCGTTTGTTTGGCGGCGGGAGCTCGTGCCGCAATCACTTTGCGCACTGGATGTAGGACTTTGCGTGTGGCAGCAGCCAGACCACGAAACGCACCCGCCAATCCCTCGGGGATTGTTTCAGTCTCTCTGCGAGAAGGAGGATTGGTAGGAGTGGGTTGGTCTTTGTTATCTTGTGGTGGTTGTTGTGTCATGGTGAGTTGATGGTCTGACTATTTATTGGAAGCTTGGATTTGTTGTCTGGTTTCGTGGTTGGAGGTGGAGGTAGGATGTGGGAAGAAAATCGCCAACTATGGAGTTGGCTTGTTGCGGATTTTGTTGTTTGGTGTGTCAATCAATCAATCAATGGTTGGTCCTCGTTTTAGGGTTACAGGCTAACCATACGGTACCAGACCGTTTTCGCTCAGGCTCTAAAACAAAAATTGAAATTTCCACGCCTGAGCACCGTTTTAAACATGCCTTTAAACATGCCCTTAAATCTTCAACATGCCCTTCAACATGCCCTTATGTAAACATGCCCTTAAAACATACCCTTAATGCCTCGAAACATGCCCTTGAGCCTTCATTGAAACACCATAGGACATACGATTTTAGCAAAAAGTGACTGAACTAAGTAAGTTTACTCACAAACTGCCGAATCGCTAAAACACAGGCTTTACTCTGTGGTAACTTTTCGGTTGTTTGACTTTTTCATCCCCCTTGGGAATCATCAGTGCTTGGGCTATTGTGGTACTTATGAAATCGAGGTTTATGTCGGCATGCTCCGTATATTTCGTTGCAGGAGTTGATCAGCTTTTCTGGCGATTCTCTGGATCGTTTCAGTATCTCGAGTCGCTCCCTGTTGCATAGGCTGCAGTGTCGTGTCCCGAAGGTCTTGACAGTGCTGATGGGGTTGCCTTGCCATATGATGCTAATTTCGATGCTGTTCCTTTGAATGTCGCCGTTAAGTCGGAATGGTGAAGGATGTGCGAAGTTTTGGAATTCGTTGGCGAAGTGTCTTGCGTATGAATCTGACTTGCGTTTTCCGTAGAGGAGACGCATGACGTCGGTGAAGTGTTGGTATGTTCGTTCTTTGACGTTTCGTTGGGTTGCCCCAACGTATTCCTTGCCTGAGTTTATGCATTTGATGCAGTATATGACCAGTTTGTTTCTACAGCGGTCGTCAAATCGGCATTGGCCGTCTTTCTTATTTCCTGGCTTGCAGTTGCAGGTTTCATTTTGGAACTCGGTGGAGATGACGTCATTGGTGAGTTTCCTTGATAGGTCGCCCATGAACATCTCTCGCAGGTTGGTGAAACGATGGTAGGACATAGACGTTCTGATCCATTCGAGGCCATGGCTCTTCTTGAGGTCGTTGATTACCTTGTGTATTGGGGTCGTCCATGCGTTGGAGTGTCCTATACAGAAGAATAATGATCGGTTCCGGTTCCTCTTTCGTTGCTTGGACATGCCCTTATCACGAATGAACATGCCCTTATATAAACATGTCCTTAAAACATGCCCTTAAATCTGAAACATGCCCTTAAACATGCCCTTAAATAAACATGCCCTTACGATGAGAACCAGTCGTTGTCGTTTTAAAGTCTGAGTGAAAACCGCCGGACAGTCCTGTATGGTGAGTACAGTAAAAGGTAGATTATACCATTACACGGTACCGGCCAGATGTAACCCAACTCCACTCCTCATACCTACCCGACTCCTCCGCTGACTAAGAGGGTTGCTTGGTAGCTCTAGTAGTAATACTAACTTCATAGCTGAGGCTCTCAGCAGGAGGAGCATTTGGGATGAAACTGGGCATTGAGCTGGGGAAGGAGCTGCCCAGGAGAAATGCTATAGAGATGTCACTGACTGGGAAGCTGAGGCTAACTAGCTGGGCTCATGCCAGCAGGGGAGGTACAACCAGGACCGGGGCTGGAACTAGTAGGGCGGGGGAAGGAGCTAGGAAAACTGCTAGGGAGCCATGTCAGTAGCTGGGAGGGTTGTGCAATCCACAGTCATGCCTTTTTGCTATTTCTGTTTCCGTAGTTGGCGCCACCGGAGGCATCTTGTGTCCAATCGCCATTCTGCCGTTTATTGATCGACAAAGCAATGAGGCAGCAGAGCGGAGACGCATACGTCAGTTGCCTTCCGACTCTCGTTCTCCAACAGAAGAGCACGACGAACGAAAGGAAGAGATAATGATGGATCAAGAGAGCTAAGCAGCACTCGTTACATGTAGCTGCTTCCGTGCACCTTGTCCCCAGTGCCCCCCTGTTTGGCAAATTCGCTGAGGTAGCAGCACCCAAAAGCTTGCGGTTGCCCTACAGCTACAGCAGCAAGAAATAGCCGCCAAATAATGACTGAACCCACCACAGTCCATGTCGTAGTGGCTTCCACCGTGGCTGGCTTTACTTCTACAATTCTGGGACACCCGCTGGACACCATCAAAGCACACCTGCAAACTTCCTCTTCTTCTACAACCACAACCAGCAGTTGGCAAGTGGCCCGTCGTCTGCAGTGGAATCTCTTTCGCGGCATTGGACCTCCCTTGGTCAATGCCATTCTCATGAATGCCGTCATGTTTTCCGTATTTGACAAGGTCAACACTGCTAACAACAGCAATGTCTTTGTGGCAGGACTCTTGTCAGGTTTTGCCACCGCCATGATTAGTACGCCCACTGATTGGATCAAAATTCAAGCCCAATTGCAAATGCAAACACAAACACAAAAGTCCAGTTGGCAAATTTTGGTGCAAACGCTGGCCAAGGGGCCACCACGAGTTGTAATCTCTCAATATCTCTACCGGGGACACGTGGCCAATTTGGCACGAGAAGGAATCTTTAGCATGGTCTATTTGGGGTTCTATCACTACATACTCCAAAACAACAGGTCCGACGACAATGACAACAATTCACAACATTCCCTGCCCGTAGTAGCAGTAACCAGTTCGCTCACGGGTGCAATGGCATGGGTCCTGAGTTATCCCATGGATACCATCAAGACGTTACGACAAAGTGGTCGTACGCGGCAAGAAATTTATCAACTGTGCAAGACACGGGGGTATGCTGCTGCAGCATTGTATCGAGGATGTGCCACTTCCACGGGACGAGCCATGCTGGTCACGTCCAGTCGCATGATGGCTTACGAAGGGTGCATGGCCGTGTTGGCGGCCAATTCATCCTGATCATCCTACTTGAGAGAGTCATCGAGTGGAATGGAAAGCAGCCGTCGCATGCAAACGACTGCCTGTAAAACAAGCAACCAACAATTATTCATTGCACGTTAGATTGTTTGGGCCTCGATTGCTCGATGGGTGCATTGTTGGTGCCGAGAGATTTGGTCCAGGCTGCATAGACAGAAGACTGAGGGGAACTGCAATCTATCAGGAGCCCGAGAATCGAATGATTCAATCGACGGTCTTGAACTGCTTTTGCCAAGTGCTCGCTCGACGAGTTTCCGGCTTCGTTGGGATGCGGCCGTCGGATCTCTATAAGCAACTTGAGTGTTTCGCCTTCAGCCTAGCTAGGGCAGCATCAACCCAACCACTGTCAACACAATACAACACAGAAGCTAGCTAGCTAGCTATAACCAGAGTCCATGCTCGGGTACCGGTAGCTATCATAACCGCACAAATCAGACGGCCCCGATTGATATGTAAAATTTTGGTTACTAAGAAATGAGACTAGCTAGAAACTTGTCTCTTCTCCTCAACTTCTTCTAATAGTGGTCTGTCCAGCAATCTTGACTCGCACAACACAACAACATGAAATATGTATACACAAAAGTGCCAAGTAGTCGGGTAGACTCTCAGCTCAACCAGCCAATCGAACAACCAAAAATGCTCTAACAGTCCACCACGCCACTCCTGTTAGATGCGGCCAGGTCCTCGGTTTTCTCCGTCAAACCGGGGCTACCCAACACCCTGGAGGATATTTCGTCGCATCCATGAAACGCACTGGCAAACAACTTGACTTTGGCAATGGTGACGACATTCACCAACAAGTCCACATCCATTTCTTCTTCATCATTGTCATCTTCTTCCTTGAATGTGTCAGCAGCAGGACCAAGGCTGTGCGTCAATTCCAGCAACTGCAACTTGCTGTCGTCATCCAACACGGGCTGTCCGAGATATTCCAACGCCGCATCAATTTCTTCAAACGAGACACTGCCACTGTTGTCTTCGTCGACAAATTCAAAGAACTGGGCAATCTTTTCCCGAATCGTATGCATGGCATGACACACGAGAGCAAAGGCGACAAACTCGGCCTTGTCAATGGTACCCGAGTCATCCAAATCGATAAATGTCAAGACGAGACTGGCAAAACTCAAGGCTTCCATATCCTGCAATCCAGCCGCTTGAAAGGCATTGGTAATAAGAGACAGAGGGATTTGCTGTTGCGAGGCAGTATTGTTGTGTTGTTCGAGTAAGGAGGCAAATATGGTCAGGGCGGCCTCTTTGGTCTCGTTGTGTTGGATTTGTTCGGTCGATGTGCCCCATCCCTTTTTCTTTTGGGGGTTCTTTTTGGTTGGGGATTGGATACCAGTGGCTTCCAAGGCTCGCGAGGACTGCGCGTGATCTGCCTCATCCAGTGCTTCGCCGAGAAGACTCAGAGACTTGGTCAATCGTTTGCTGCGCATTTTGGAGGACGATTTTCGCGAGTCGGACGTGGGTGTTTGCAAGGCTTCCTTGAGAAAGGCGAATCCATCCGAGAGCATATTGACGCGCTGGAGATGATCTTCGGGAATGGTCATGGATGCGAGCGGAACAGCAATGACAATAGAGGTAGTGCCCTGAATGATGATAAAGGGCAAGCATACGACACAAAAGGGCAATGTCATGAATGGCAATCCCCATGGATTCAACCAGTTGGCCAAGGCTTGTTGGGCAATCACAGTCATGACACCGGCAATGACGGCCAAAATACCGGCACCAATGGAAGGAGTATAAAATAGAAACATGGCCGTGACGGTCAAACTGGCATTGAAACCAAACATGCCTGCTTCGATGGCTGCAGCGTCGACCCCAATACAAATGGCGGTAATAGCCCCCAGTGCCGATCCCATCCACGCCGCCACGGCACCAATCCGAGAACACAGTGCCATGCCAATCAATGTGAGAAATCCGGCAGCCAGATTGTCGGCCAAAAACACTTGTCCAATGCCTCGAATCGACCCGGCAAAGAATTGTGCCGCCGTGACTTGCATATCGGTTGGTGTACTGTCGTATTCGGGGAGAGAGGGAGGACGGACGGAATCGTACGTGACGCGACCCATGTGTGCCGTGGACAAGAGAAAGAGGAGTGTGGCGACATTGAATGGTAGAGTCAATGGTGGTGACTTGTACGGGACGAGCAGTTTCCCCATCATGACAAAGAGAATGGCGGTAAAGGAGGCAATTACGGCGGAACCAATGAGTGTGGAAGCAGAATATCCTTGATGCTTTCCTCCACCGGCCTCGGAATCAAAAGTGGCCAAGGCGAGTCCGACCAAGACGGCATTGTATCCAAACAAGCCACTCTGTACGAGTCCCTTGTCAAAGCCTAACAAGAGTGCCAAGGCGTTGGTAACGACCAACGAGATGGTGCCATGAATGGCCACGCGAGTGGACTGGATGAAGAGTCCCACGAGAATGAACAGGCCCGTCATGGGGGAATTCTGAAAGACAACTTGACCAATCCCACGCAGGCAAAGGTCAATGAACATAGCGACGGGGTTGGAACTGATAGTGGGCGACGATTGGATCCAAGGCATGGTACCCGTCCAGAGCTGGAACCACTTGCCCACGGTAGAATCGTTGCCGTTGTCTTGTTGATCGTCGTCGTCCTCAAAAAACACGGGAAAGGTCCCACGGATCAGCGCCAACACTCCCGGGTCCAACTCGGCTCGTTTGGCAGCAACAGCTTCCAACTTGGCGGCGGTGGTAGTGGTAGACTTGCCCACCATGGCCTGTTGAAAGAAAGACGAACGACGGCGTTGACGGGGACCCTCGACCACAAAATCAGACGACAAATCTACGCCACCGCCAGCAGCACTTGCCCGAACCAAGTCCACAGCACGATGGCGACTGCCCGTCACAGAGGAGTGACGAAATCTTCCGTCACCATGGCGAGATTTGTCGGCAGCACCATGGCGAGATCGGCCAATTTCGCTCCGCCGCGTAGCATCCAAGCGTCGAGCGGTCTTGGCCGTTTGGTCGTAGCTTGCCCACGCATTCACTTCTTCCTGAGGTGGGGCCATGGTCGGTTTGGAGTGGAGGGAAGGGGAAGTAATCAATGGATGACAGAGCTGCAGCTGCCCTTTTGGTTTGTGTGCTGATGATTGCCAAATGCTCTCACAGAAAGAAAGAGCACAGACAAAGAAAGACGAGTACAAAGAAAGAAAGCTTTCGTTGCCTCCAAGCTGCCAACAAGATACGAACTGTGATATCGGTACCGGTATGTGCTGGTGCGTGGTGTCAGAAGGCTATTCTTTGGGATTTAATGAGAGGCTCTAATGTTGTTCCCTTCCATCTTGCACAATTCTTTAGAAAGTTACCAGTTGGCACCAAATTTCCATAAACCCATGATTGTTGCTGTTAAATCTGCTACTAGTAACACAACCAAGCGTATTGAAGTTGAATCTCCCTAGCAATTCTTACGAAAGATCATACAGCATCCCTTAAACCCATGTAACAAATGTTAAATCCATTAGACACAACCAAGAATTGAATGTTGATTCACCCTTTTAAATCCAGTTTCGGCATGCTTGGGTGGTTGAACGTTTTTTTTTTCTGTTTAAAAATGCCGGAAGAAGTGGGAGCCTTGGTAGGTAATTACTGCAGTAATTCCTGGTTACTGGTTACTTACTGTACTTTTACTGCCTTTATTGGCCAGTAGTTACTGCAGTCAGTAATTCCTGGCAGTAATAAATCTACCAATTCAACAGTAATTGACAGTAAATGACAGTAAAAGCACAGTAATCACCCTGTTTTACTGCTATTACTGTGATTTACTGCCTTCAAATGGCTTTAAATTACTGTACCTGATTACTGCTACTGAGGAATTACTGCATTACTGCCATTACTGCTACTGTTTGGCCCCTCTAGTCAGTAATCAGTAAACAGTAAATACCAACCAAGGTGGGAGCAATCCAAGACCCAGCGCCAGCATCGTAGCCAGCAAGGCCGGTTGATCGATGCATAGTATCATAAGTGTGCAGAACAGCATGGTGGATTTCAGCCAGAGACCTGCAGTCTACAGTCACCGGACCGGCACCTCACGTATCCACAAACTCGATTCCATTCCAAAGGATCCACCGACCAACTCCAAAAAACCAAATCTCAACTGGACCGACCCGGAGCATCAAGAATAATCATCTACGCCGCAGCAGGGACTTTGTCTGGTGCCATAGCATCAGAAAGAACATACAAATAATGGCTTGGCTACTAGCTATGGTAAGTCAGAGCTCTGGCTGGCAACCAGCGTATGTACGGTAGACCCACAAAGGGCCACAGGGCCGCACGTGACGTTCTTGACTGCAATGAACGTGCTCTTTCTCTTTGAGAAACTTCCACTCGTCGTCTCGACGAACCTTTCAATAAGCAAGTAGAGCACACAGCAAAAGCAAAACAAACTTGGCGGAAAGAGCTGGTTTTCCAAAGATGACGATTTTCGATAGGATTCCCAGCTGCCCTGGTTGCTCCTGATGCAGGTTCTCCAGCATCGCGCTTTTTACCAGCGTTCATTTGGATCACGGTTCTTGTCCAGGTAATCTTCTCTGCCAAATGTGAAAAAGACACGGTTGTAGCCAAGCTGCCAAATGGGATCAAGATCTGGAACATGAATTGCCGTGTTACACTCGGTTGACCCCTCGCAGCAAAGGGCGCAACAACCAGGAAAATCATCGCAGATATCACAAGATGCAACAATGACTGGTTTGGCCACAAAGGTGGGGTTGGCACAAAACAAAACATCCAGGTCACCTTGAACGTTGTCGTTGGCGTCGATATAGAGGAGTTCTGGGCAGGGAGGTAACAGGGTGTTGGAAGGTACACATGCATCAATAGAGGATGGATTGATAGCTCTCTGCAACTTACTCAGACTACTTAGACTGGAGAAGGTGTCGGGGATCAAACTGGTCAGATTGTTCCTATTCAATAGCAAGATGCTTAGATTCTCCAGATCTCCTAGTGAAACAGGAATGGTTCCCATCAGGTTGTTTTTGTCCAGATCCAGCAACAACATTCCTTTCAGGCCACCCAAAAAGTCAGGAATGGTACCGGTCCGTTGTGTGTCCTTCAGAGAAAGCTCCTGCAGATTTGTCAACCCTTCGATCCAGTAGGGGATGCTGTTGGCTTCAAAGTCATTCTGAGCCAAGAAGAGGTATGTCAAATTGGTCATATCTCCAATCGATGAGGGGATGTCACCAGTAAAAAAGTTCTGAGAAAGATCCAGGTGATGCAATCCTTTGAGCTCATTGATTGATGTGGGAACAGGATTTCCCGCAAGCTGGTTTTTCTGCATGGCCAAGAGTTGCAAGTTGCTGTTTTCTTGGAAGAAAGTTGGCATACTTGTAAAGTCATTGTCATGCAAGTCCAAGACCTTCAAAGCTGGCAGAGTGAACAATTGTAAGGGGATACTTGCAGCAATGTAGTTGTCCGAGATATCAAGATACTCTAGTTTTGTCATTTCTCGCAAAAAATGGTCTCCCAGAGTCCCCGTCAACTGGTTGTTCTCCAAGTAGAACTGTGTCAAGTTTCTTAAGCCAGGCACCATTGAAGAATCAAAGACATCTTCGACATTTGATGAGAAGAGATTGTTATCCAGGGCCAACCCTTCCAGGTTCGCCAAGTTGCCCAAAGAAAGGGGAAGTTCACCAGTCATGTAGTTGGTGCTCAAGTTGATGTTTTCCAAGGTTGTGATATTGCCTATCCAGGCTGGGATGGGTCCTTCAAGACGATTGCCAGCTGCGAAGAAATCTACCATGTTTGTCATTTGCTGGTAAGAATTGGGAATAGTGCCACCAATATTGTTGAAGTCTAGGTCGATTTCTCTTAGGGTGGTAACAAAGCCAAGTTCTCCTGGTAATGAGCCTCCCATGTTGTTTTGATCTAACAATGTGTGGGCAGAGACAACTGTGAGATATTCTTCAACGGTGATTCTTTCCGCTCAGCACTCCAAGCCAAGATCAACTTACTGAGAAACAGAGCAACAGGATGACCTGAACTCAGGTCACAACTAACACCTCTGAATTCTGTGCTGTTGTCTAAATATACTAAAACTTGATGCCAGTCACAAACAGAGGTCGGCTCCAAGAAATTCAAACCAAATGCCCATATTCGTTGTCCCAAGGTGGAGTAGAAGAGTACTGACAAGGCATACCGAACGACAAATTCATAGCCAGCTGTAGTATTGATGCCCCCCTGGGGAGGTTCCAGCCTCAAATCATCATTGACAGCCATAAAGAGCAGTGCATAGTTTTGAGGTGATCCAGTCATTTCAAGAGCAGCCCGAGTGGAAATTCCTTGATCAACCAGGTACTGTTGAATGGCTTCCGAACGCCCGGCAGGAGGAAGTGTTGGAGAAGGAGCTGCATTGGTGATTTGTTCAGCGGATGGGTCCCACTTGCAGCCTCTGGTAACAGAGCAATGGACTGCATTTTCGAAAGCAGCACAGTTAATTGTCCCAACACAGGAAATCTCATAGTCGCAGGTGTCACCATCACACCCCTGAAAGTCTTCATTGCACAAGCAGGGAGAGTCATATGCAGCGACACTGATCCTCTCGCAAACAGTCTCGCATGTCCCAAGGGCAGCAGCACACTGTTCCACATTGCTGTCCTGCTCAGAGCATGTTACCGTGTGGTACACGGTTTCACAGGGCAATCCCTCTCCTCTACAAGCACCTCCTGCAACTATAGGGATCAAACTTAGCAGTAGCGAGGATGGGAATATCATGGTTGCTCTTTCTCTTTATCGGTAACAAAAAGTGTCGGGTGTTGTGTGCCGATATCCTGTCATCTGCACCTCAGATCACATCTCAGACGTGAATTTAGTCACGAGCGAGATTGCATTCCCTGCTTTTTAAGATATTATTTATTATTGGGACAACCGTAGACACAGCCGACAATGTTAGCTCAACCACAATTGCACTTGGGTGACAGTAAACACTTGCAAAGCTCCTCTTTATTACAGCAGCTCGACCCAATACTCTCTCGTAAGCATCGGTTGTAGCACAATGGTGGTTCCGCTTCCAGATAGTCGTTAGCGGACTCTTCACCACATTCCACAACAGAACCATAGTTCCCCTGGTTGCTTCTGCCCAGGAGAGACGACACATCCCCTGCGGGTATTGGTTCCTGTGGATTGTCGACCTCCTTTTGTTGCTTTACGACCGCCGAGGAGGCTCTTTGGTAGAGTACAACCCCCGTCAGCTCGACACATAAGCCAAAAATAATGTAACTGTTCAACGTGGAAGATCCCAGCAGGGGCCAGGAAAGGGTAAAGAGGATTGTCGACAAGGGAAAGGTGACAGTGTTGGTGATAAAGGTAAGTAGCGCTCCTCCATGCTTGATGAGATTCAAAAAGCAAATATTGTAGGTCAAATTGATGGCAAAATAGAGCAGCGGGGCCAGAGGAGCTCCTGTACAATCATAGTCTTCCACGGGAGAGTGCCCGGCAAAACAAGCAGCTCCGTGTTTCATGTAGGATGGTAACTCGTGCAACTGAATCTTTCCCAATCCAGGCACTGCCGCCAAGGGCAATAGAGCAATGGTGAACACCAACCCCACGATGGATCCAAAGGTGTTGACCACAAAGATATCCAAATTCAAATGTTGGTTTTCTCGAAAGACTTGTTCTTTGAGAACAAATGCTAGCGCCGTGGGCGCCACGGATGCCACGTAGACTCCGGCGTAAAAGAGGTCCGAAAAGGAGGAAGTGGATTCACTAGTACTACCAGCAGTACTGGAAGCAAAGATGGTAGGGATCAGAGTCACCACACTCCCACAGAGCACGACCGTCATGGCGGCAATTTGAGGCCCCGAATAACGCTTGCCAAGCAGTAGAGCGGAGAAGACTGCCGTAAAGACAATGTTGAGCTTTGCCAGCAAGGGCACTTGATATCCAGGCAGTTGACTGGTGCCCACATTGCCCAGCATATCCCCCAGTGAATCCCACAGTCCAATGTACAGAAACGGCGATTTGCGGATCTGCATCATTTGCCACGTGACAGTTCCTTCCCGAAAGCGCAGGTACAACATGGAGCTGTAGAAGAACACATAGGTCAGAGTTTGAAGCTGCGTGAGGAAGTAAGGGAACTTCTGCATGGGAACCAAAGCGATTCGTCGAATGATGGTATTGGCCACTGCCGATACCACCACCGAAGCCATCATGGCAGGGAGGGCCAAAGAAGACGAGGATGAGGAAGCCATGGCTGTTGCTTCTTTATCCGCTTTTCGGACAACATGAAATCAATAATCATGATCGATGATCAACTTCATGATGATGTTGCGCTCGGTGAACTCATAGTAGACGTCGGAACACTTTAGAACTTCGACAAGTAGCGCTTAGCTAGCAGAGTTGTGAATGTGTGCGTGATCCACACACGACACAGCAGGTTTCCTCCAATCAGGCCAAGAAGCACCACAAGACCAAAACAAAGTGCCATGTGTTGCTGTCTCCACAAAACTGCAGCCACAACAACGGGACCTCAAATAAATTTACAAACCAGACCACACCACACCACACCAGTTTATTAATTAATTTAAAAAGCAAGTCAGGCAAATCGTAATAATGATGTCCCCCATACAATCGCATCAAGATGAAGACGAGTTTGTGATTGCTGTGGATTGGAACGACAACGAAGAAGAAGAAGAAGAAGAAGAACAAGAACGTGTTCGAAGATACTGTCTCACAGTCACTTGCTGGATTTGGTTCTTGGGTGTCATCCTTCCCATTGAAAGGGCCCGAAATCACGTTTTACATGTAATTCTGCTTTATATTTGGGTTTCGATTTTATATTTAGGTTTCGATTTTATATTTAGGTTCCGGTTTGATATTTTGGTTTCGGCATGATTTTACTAGTTATTTACCATAGTAATTTGGATTCGGTTTTATATTTAGGTTTCGGTTTTATATTTAGGTTTCGATTTTATATTTTGGATTGGAATTGATCAATTTAATTGGATTCTTAAAGTCCTGATTTCGGGCCCTTTCATTTTGGGAATGCTACAATGTAGCGGCTGGAACGAGGGGTCGATGCAGGTGGAGTCTTGCTTCCTTGACAATGTGGCGAGTCGGGGGTATGCCAATATTTTGTACAGCATAGTTCTGATCAGTGCCTTTATGGGATGTATTCCCTTGTGCATCTATGGATGTCTCCTGTGTGCTTTGAATACGCTTCTGGTCAAGACACGTTGGTTTCTTCGACGAGGAGAGGAGGAGACCTGGAAGAATGCCCAATTTCAAGAGCTACCTCCACAAGAAGTACTGGTCTAGCTAGCCAGCTAATAGCTTCACTAAACAGAACTTGAAGCAGAAATGCATCTTGCCTTTGTTTGCGTGATTCGATTCTGTGGTGGTACCTCCGATAGTACCGGTATCTCCACAACCCCTTGCTTTAGCGCCACTGACAGGGTGTTGATCTCGCCATGTTCTTTTTTACAACAGGTGGGAGGGTATCTTTCAGTCGTGCAATATCCTTGGCGTGAAATTTCACTGCCGCCAAGTCGTCCGTTGGCACAAGGACCAGAACACCAGTTGTCAATTCTGGTTCCCACGCAAACTGGGGAAGCACCAGCTCCAGGAGGCGGAGCTTATTCCAAGCCAGAAGATACTGTATCTCATTTATTTTGCAGCGATCAATAAATAAATAATGAGCACAAGATGACAACCGTCGTGAAGAAGCAAGTCAGTTTCCGGCAGGATGCCAAAGACCACAACAGCAACAACAATGACTCCAATAATAATGATGTTTCCGCTGCCGTTTCTTGGAACATGTCTTCCAAATCCACGAGTTCGGAAGGATCGAGTAATAGTCACAGTAGTAGTAGTGGTGGTAGTAGTACCTCTGTGATTCCATCGTTGGGAGAACGCTTGATTCGAACACAAACCCATCGCGATCCCATGCGCTACTACGAGGTCGTCCAACAGCTGGGAAGTGGTTCCATGGGAAGTGTCCACCTCGTCCGCAAACGCACTTTTGGAGGAAGTGCCCGTCGATCCTTTGTGCGACGTGAACATTCGACGTGCTGGCGATTTCCATGGCCCTGTGGCGGCTTTTGCCTACCCAAATCCAGAAAATCGGCGTTATCGCGACAGAACAATTATCACAAACAGAGTTCCTCGATTGTTTCCTTTGGAACGTCCGTCCCTGTGGATTTTGCCCTCAAGACGATTCTGTTGAGAAAATGTCGCAACGATTCCTACAAACAAGAATTACTCCATGAAATTGCAGTCTTGAGAAGTTTGGATCATCCCAATATTGTACGAGCGGTCGAAACCTACGATTATCACCACAAGTTGTATTTGGTGCTGGAGTTGTGTCACGGAGGGGATCTGTACGAACGAGATCCCTACACGGAACCACAAGCCAAAAGTATTGTCTATACCTTGTTGGATGCCATTGCCTATTTGCATTCCAAAAATATTACACATCGAGATTTGAAGGTACGTGTGGTTCTGTATACTCTCACTGACAGGAAGTATGGAATCTTTGCTGCTTATTATCGGATCTTCTTCTAAACTTGCACATTCACTTTTATTATAAAGTACGAAAACATTATGTTTGCCAGCCCAACTTCGAACACGATCAAAATAATTGACTTTGGCTTGTCCAAAAAGTATGGCCAGGAAGAAAATGAAAACGATGACGACAACAATCCACAAGGCATGATGAAGGAATTCGTGGGAACCCTCTACACCATGGCCCCGGAAGTCATTCGAGGCAACTACACGGAAAAATGCGACGTTTGGTCCATTGGAGTACTTGCGTTCATGTTATTGAGTAGTTGTTTTCCCTTTTTTGGAGAGAACGACAAGGAAATTGCAACAAAAATTGTGGGCAATCAGTGGGACTTTTGGGATGACGAACGATGGAAGGGCATTGGTGGAGATGCCAAGGGGTTTGTAAAACGTATCTTGACACTAGATGCCGCGACGCGTCCCTCTGCCACGAATGCCATGGAGAATGGATGGTTTGATAGTTTACGCGACAAGGACCAGAACGTGTTGCCAATCAGTGACGCAGTCATGGATCGTGTTCAAGCCACCATTCAGACATTTGCCGGGTACTCTATTTTGAAGAAATTGGCCCTGTTGGTGATTGCCCACCAGTCCATTGACGAAGAAATTGGATTCTTGCGACGTCTCTTTCTACAACGGTTCGATACCGAAAAGGCCAATGCCAACGTGTCGTTTCCCGAGTTCAAGGAGGCACTCAAAGAACACTACAACTACAGCGACGACGAACTATGGACCATGTTTTGTGGTATGGATATTGATGGAACGAACAAGGTCAGTTTTACAGAGTTCCTGGCGGCGTCTATTGAGGCGCACGGGTTGATTGAAGAGGAACGAATCGCAGAAGCCTTTGATCGAATTGATTGTGACGATTCGGGGTACATTACAGTCGACAATCTAAGGGATGTTTTGGGAGACGAAGTCGACGATGACTTTATTGACGAATTGGTGAACCAAGTCAAAACGACAGGCGACGAGGAGGAGGATCGTCACAACATTATTAGCTATGAAGACTTTTTGGGTCTTTGGGACAGCAATGGCGACGAGACCTTGCGGAGGAACCTGTTGGACGTTCAGAGACGGCGACGAACCACTAGCGAGAGTCCCCGCACTGTCATGGCGTCATCGCAGGACAAGCACAGCACCGCCAGGACCCCAGATCAGTCCGCCGAAGGGTCTACTAAACACGGGATGGGTTACTCCCAATTTGAGAAAGAAAAGGCGAAATCCCGTCGTGGAGTTTGGATGTCGATACGGCAACCTACTGGGACCTAGCCTGCTGGCGTTGCGGCTTTGTCATTCAAATCCTGGGTACGCATACAGAAGCAAAAGCTATTGCAAATAGACATGGCTACTACTAGCTGGCTAGTAGCTAAAGCATGCTCAAATTATTGCTACTGGCTATTCGCCTCGTTGTTGGTGTCACTTGCAAGGAATCTTGTTGTTGTTGTGCTCCTTCGTACGCCGATCGGGAGACGGGAAAGTAGCGCAATCCTCGCGTCCGAATCCATACTTGGAGGGAAATGGTGAGCAGCCCTACACTGGTGATCCGTTCCAAATCGTGAATCCACAAGGACAATGTGGCCTGACAAACCGTCAAGGAGACATCCGTGAGCGCAATCACTGTGGGTATCCACGCCAAGCGGCCCGTATGGTTGTCAAAGTAGTTTTGGAGATTGGCGGATACCCCGCGATGAGATGCAAAAATGAGATCCAACGACACAAAGGATGCCGCGACACTCCAGGAATAGAGATTGGCAATGGCTTGACTCTGTTCTTGCAATGCCGGTGTGCGAATGGTTTGTTTGTTGGAGGAAGCAATATTGTTATTGAGCAGAAACCAGTCGTCGTCCGTGTTGCTGTCATGTTGTTGTTGTTGCTGTTGCTGTTGCTGCTGTTGTTGCTGTTGTTCTTGTTGTTCGAGATAGTAATGAAGAATCATTTTGAAGGAACATCCGACCATAATGAGCGATGCCGAGTAGACAACCATGGCATAAAAGAAACACATGGCCCCGGAAGACGATCGATACATGGCATGATCGTCGGGATCAAAGGGATTGGATCTGTAATACAGGTACTGAAAGAGTGTCATGGTAATGATACCGGAATAAAACGTGACATAATATCGCACTCCCGGTGTTTGTTCGACAATGAGCAATGCCAGAATGGTTTCTCCCAACACCAGTGTAATCCATTCGCCCATGCGGGCAATGACATGTTCCAAATTCATGGGGGCATAAAATCGCACTTGTGGATTGTTCCGATTGACAACGTACCGCAAATACATCATACCGCCTTGGGAAATCCCAAACGCCAACAAAATCAAAGTAGCCGGCCAATGATTGACTTGATTGGCATCGTATTCGCCATGGCGGCCGACAAAGTAATCGCGCGACGACAGGAGCAATGCCAATAATAAAAAGAGCACGGGTGGCACTCGTTGGACCATGTCATTGCGGGCGTGCATGGCGGCTTGTGCCGATTGGATGTTGGTCAAAATATCGTAATCTTGTTGATAATGAATGAAATGACTCGCAACTAATGACGCACAAAAGACCATGGTGGTGGGATGTGCCGTCGTATGAGCCATGAGTTGTACCGGTCGAATGTGTTGCACCGCCGTGGCCAATATACAGTATTGAATCAATTGGAGGAGTCGCCAGGATAGATTGTCGTGTACGATATAGCGCGAATCAAAGGTACACTTGTCGTACCACAATCGTAGCATGGAAATAAAGCAGGCGGAAAAGTAGAGCAAGCCAATGGCATTGAGCGATTCCATAAAGGATTCCGACAAGTTGTAGACGCCACTGACGTAGAACAAGTCCCAGTAGAGATTGCCTTGGTGATAGATGGGTTTGTTGGATTGTGGATTGCGTTGCAAGGGGCGACTGTAAAAGGGAACATCATCTTCTAGTTTTCGCGTGGGCGTCTTTTTGCTGCGATGATTTCGTTTGGGAGAATGAGATCTTGCTTTCTTGTGTCGTTTGCTGTTCTTGTTGCGATTGTTATTGTTATGGTTGTGTTGGTGTTGGTTCGTGTTGCTATAGCTGGACTCAGTGCTGTCGGTGTGGAGAAGATGCGTGTGTTCGGTGGGGCTTCTGGAAGGACTGTGTACATCGGCGGTCTTGGCTCCAGCCATTTTCGGCCTGGCAACGTTCTCCATGACAACCTGACTTGCAATCAATACATACACTATTCTATTCAATCAAGATATTCTATCCTTGTGCCAACTATCTCAGGTTACAGTTGCAGTGCTGGTGCAGGCAAACATGGAGTGTCATATGATGGATGGATCCTGGATGATACCATGGCCGGCAAGAAAGTGCCATCTTTGACACCACCCCTCATTTTTGTTCTGTGAAAGACTTAAGACCGCTTCCAAGAATGTAAGATTTAACGAAATTTCGCCAAAAAAAGATACACCCGAGATCTGCGTTGGACGAAAAAAGACACAACCACGCCACCGCCATCCATCAAGTAAGCAGCAGCCGTTGCAACAATTGTAAGGAGCGCCTTGACTGTGTGGATCTTGAGAGATCTTTTGGATGGACCATGCTGCGGCGATTCTCATAGGAAACTTGAAAGAAAGAAGAAGAAACAGAAGCAATAGGACAGCGAGCTAGAAAGAGCCAAGAGCCAGGAATGATGAAGATCAGGAAGAATCAGCATGGCAACAACAGGTGCAGGTTGCTGCCAGTACCAGCAGTGGCCATTGTTCTGGCTCTGCTGTTTGTTCCTAGTACAGCTTTTTTCTCTGTCAATCCTACTACTAGATCAACAAGTGGTACTGGCACTACCAGTAGTAGTCTCCACTCATCATCGATATGGCCGCACATCAATGGGACGTTCGAAAGTAGTGATGATGGAAGACCAAGCAGAAGAAGAGGTTTTCTCAGAAGAGACCATAAGAGGCGGACCATTCCTTTTCTGAAGCGAGAAAAGCAAGTGACAACGCAGCAGCAAACGCCCTTTCAGGCACCGAAACCTCAAATACTCGAACAGCTCAAGACCAATCCTTCTACGACTACTAGTAGCAGCATGACAAGAAGAAGCAGTGGTGGTAGAGCCAGTAGTAGTCCCATCAGTGGAGTGCTGAACAGTTTATTGGTACTCAATAACAAGAAACCACGGCAAAGCAGTCAGACCGCTACTACGACAAGCAGTAGAATGATCACTGCCAATCTACAAAGAAGCAAACGGACTCAGTTTGCCGCGTCCACAGACAACAGCAGCAACCAAGATGACAGTCTCCAGAACTACAACATCCATCACAACGGCAGTGAAAGCAAAAGTGAGAATCTACCCGAGGAAAGCAGCAACAATAAGAGCACCACCATTTCAGATTCTCCGCTTCCTATTGTATCCAATCCAACAACACTGATCAGTGCCGTGGCCAATACCAAGGCTAGCATTTCCACCACAACCGCAACCAAGAACAAATCCAACAACCACCACCACAAAGATCAAAACAACAACAATAACAATAAACAACCCTACAATAAGGATGCCAAAAACTCGCAAGAAATCATCCGCACCATTCACCTACGAAACTTTCACAGGCATCTCGAACAAGTCAAGAAATTGGATCTTGCCACTAATCAGCACAAGACTACAACTACTGTGCTAGACACTGCACGAATCATGGCGGCATCGGGAGTCTACGCCGGTGTAGTGGCCCTCGTGGCATCGTCCACACCCCCCTCTTCCACATCGTCGTTGGTGTGGACCATTTCCCAGCAAATGGTATTGCCACACGTATCCGCCGCCAGAACCGCACTCATTTGGATGGTCCAATCCCTCGCCACGCCGGCGCTGGTTGCCGTCACGTTGTCCTTGGCCGCGTCCTCGATGCAACAATCTTGGGAGAGTGCCCTCCAGATGCAACAGCAACAACTCGTGCGGACGCAGGTAGTCCTGCAAATCAAGGCATTGGCGCGAGCGCTCTATCAAGTACTCGATGAGTGTATTCAACGAATACCATCGCAACAACAACAGCAGCAACAACGCAGCAATACTAAGAATGACAATTCCCGGTTTCCACGACCACATCCCATGCTCGTCAGTCGCAGTAATAATGGCAACGACACGACAAAGAATAAGAGTGCCACCCTTCAATCCTCGGCCAAACAATGCGACGACATTTTGGCGGCTGCCAAGTGCTTGGCATTTATTGGATATGCCGCCACTCACCACTCAGCGGCAGACGTGGTATCCCAAACACTGTTTTCCGAAAAAGATCAGGCCGACCCGATTCGGTTTTCCATTAACAAACTGGATGCCACGTGGGAACGGATACGACAAGTCACAACCCGGTTCCAAAAGACGTGCTGCCGAGATTTGCCCACTCCTAGTCATTGGGAAGAGCGCATTTTTGCACTCGAAACCAATGTCGGAATATTGCAACAACAACAACAACTCGCTACTAGCAGTAGCAGCAGTACAAGATCGTGGCGATCATCCTTGCCCATTTTGTGGATGGCAATGTATCCCTGGGTCATGATGGCCCGAGCACCGGCTCTTGCCGTGGTTTGGTCGGCCATGGTGTATTCTACCGTGGTTATCAAGTCGGGAGGAGGAGGCGGTATTAGGAAACAAGAACACAACAATAATAGCCACGAAGATGCATCTGCGTGGGGACGACAAGTTTTGGATGTAGTACAAGAGCAAATGGCCATGCCAGCATCCACAGTTGCTACCACTACTGCACCATCACCAAGCTCTACAGGTACATCGAACACACTGGCAAAAACCGTGACCTCATTGTCACGACGCAATGATGCCATGGCCAATGGCAAAAGCAGCAAGAAGCCAATTGACAAAACCCCCTTTCTCATCCGTAATGGAACGTCGCCCATCATCACCAAGGCTGCTACTACTAGCGCTGCTGAAGAACAAGGCGAAGTCGACGACAAGGACAGCCTTTTGCAAAACATCGTCACAGATGACGACCATGGCGTAAAACAAGAAGGCCCCACCAAAGATCAAGACTAGCTAGCTATAGAGGAGCAAATTTTGCACACCCAATGGCCCGCATGCTTTATTTAAACGGGACAGCAAGCAAGTCAATGGATGGATGCAGTATCATGTCATCCAGACACACAACAACATAAGCTTTGTTTGGTGGGGCGCCAAAAAAAGGGGGATCGTTTTCGGCCCACCACTCGAAAAGACTGGAAATGAAGCAAATATGTAAATGTGTCCAGTAGTTCCGCAGAGCCATCATATGAGAGTCTCTGTGTGATTGTTTTATGTCAATAGCCACAGTAACAGACCAAGCTATAGCCATTGTATCCATCGGCGGTCACATCACTCTCAGTGACAGTCGCAGGCTTACCGCCACCAGCCCCACAATGTAGTGGCTTATGGGAGGCACACGGGTATCGTAGTGAGTGGTTTGATAGGAAGGAAGATGTCACAGTGATAACGTTTTGGATGCATGTTATGTTGGAGCCCCCTGTGAAAACGTGCAACCAGGCAGCCATGCCGGCAGGAGTGACGCAATGTCGGTGCCGGTACCAGTACACCGAGCGGCCCGATTCGATCCGATCCGTGCAAGCAAGCTACCGAATGGCTTGGTGAGGTTCGTGAGCTTGGCTTTGCACTTTCCCCACTTACTAGTGCAAGCAACATGCGACCTACAAGGCAACCGCAATGAGAGAGCATCGAGTTGGGTGGTCGTGCAAAATGCGGCGCAACAGGTGGCTGCGATCGCCGAGTATTTGCTTCTGGAGCATGACACAGACGCAAGAAGAGGCACGAGCAGCTTGGTTTGATTGTCGCTCGAACACCACTGTGTGAAACCAGCCATCAGTAGAACCTGGCTGGTCGTCTGAACTGCTTCTAAGTTATCATCATGTACCGAAGAACCTGGCTGTCTTCTATACTGGTACCAGTAGCAGTACTCTTTTACTCCTCGTTCTTTCGAGTCGACCGTTTTCCCAGTCCCACTTCCGGAATAGATGCACGATTGCCTCATTCACAGCACGAAACCTCCAAAAGAAAAGAGCTCAACCAAAAGGCAAGAAAGTGGAGCTGTGTAAGTCTATCCAATCCAAAGGTGCCTAAAATCGGGTGGCTCACTGGCTCGTTGGCGTCTTCAGGCGAATACAGTGTAAAGATACGGCTGTACCACAACCCATTAAGGCGCGACCTTGGTACAGCAGTACCGATACCAAATAATGGGACCAGTGGATCGAATCGAGGACACGTGATGGGACCAGGAAACACGTGATAGGTGAAGGGAGCATGCAAGGAAGCAATCGTGTCCCAGCCATCCATTTCAAATATTTATTATTATTATTATTATCCGGAACAAGGTACCAGTACTGTACACGTACATTACCAATCTGAAAGAAGAGGACAACTGTTTCGGCTCACAATTCGAGCAATAAAATAAGCTGAACAAAAACAAAGAACCATGTCAATCGAAGAAGGAGGTTTCGACTCAACAAGAACAGCACAAGCCTTTGGTCTTGTTGTTGTCGCTGCTGCAACCACAGGCATTGGCGCGTCTGCTGTGTTTTTCCCTGGCTTGGCCAAGCTGGCAACCAAAAAAGTCCTGGCTTGTTCCTTGGGATTTGCTACTGGTGTGATGCTGTTTGTGAGTCTCATTGACATCTATGGCAAGTCCATCACTGGGTTTGTAGAACACGGGCACACTGAAGACAAGGCCTTCATATACACCACCCTGACCTTTTTTGGAGGGATTATACTGATGAAAGTAAGTCAACTGATTGGCAGGGATCTCTTGGTACACAAGGGGAAACTTCATGCAACTCACTTGATTGCGCATCTTGCTTGAAAGATTCTGGACATGGGCATCCATTTTCTTCTCCACAGCGAGGGTCGCTATGCTGATCCAGTGGAACAAGGTATGGATGAAATGGTAGCTCGCAATGAAATGCTGGAAGGGTTGCCCGAGGTATTCGAGGAGGAAGGCAATGCCAAACCAATCCGCGTAAGTTGCCGCCTGCTTGGGAGCTGGATCTATGTAGGGCCCGAGATTGACGAGACCTCATGCAGCATCTGGACAACGGCACTACCGGTATAGTATCCTGCTCGAGTGAAAGTGAACGTGGCTTGGAGAGGCCAAAGCGCTGCCAACCTCGGATGTATGTCCCGCCCGAGTTTCAAGCTGCCCTTCAGTGGATCAGCAGGCAAAAAGATCGCCCCAAATAGAGGTATGCAGGCACCATTTGCAAGGCCGCACTGATGTCGAATAGAGAGCAGCAGAGAGGACGAGCTTCAGGTTGGACCAAATCTTTCATCTGCCTCAGAAGTTCCTGGCGCTTGAAGTACCTTAGGGAATTCCACCGAACGTCCACGTCCATTGGACGTCTATTCTCCTTGCCATTCTCCCGTGGAGCTGGAAGGCAGCCGATTAGGCCTTAACCCTAGCATATGCTCGATTCGCTAAAAATACGCACTCCCGTAAGTCGCGTGAAGTCGTTCGCGATTCGCGCTAAGTCGCGCTGCGCGACTTGGAAAGTCGTTCGCGACTCGCGCTAAGTCGCGCTGCGCGACTTGTAAAAACTAGCAATTTAACTAAGAAAGTCGCGGGAAGTCGCGGTGAAGTCGCGCCATTCGTTCTATTCGCGTTGTGCGAATCGCGGGAAACTCGCGGTAAGTCGCGCAGCGCGAATAGGAACGACTTTCAGCGATCCGGCACAAGCCAACCCTACCTCTAAAATCGGCTGCCTTCCTGACGATGACCCACAGCCAGTTACGACTACTATGCCGCGGCCACGACCGTACCGGTAGTGTACGGTATCTAGCGAGCTCCAGAGGGAGGAGGGAGGGATCTTTCGTCTTCCTACTTCAATGCTGGCTTTTTTAAAAAACACTTCGGATCATTTGGGTGAAAAGGTTAATGAGCGTCAACACAGGGCACACTACCTTTAAGTAAGCAAACACTACCTTTAAATAAGCTTGAAAAAGATCTTTCAAAAGCCTTAATTGTACAACGAATGACGTGCCCCTCCAATAAAACGTGACGTTTGGAGCAACCACATCGCGATCGTTTTGGTCTGTTCTGTGTTCTATCTCTCACACTCATCACGTATCGCACAATCCCCATTCAGTAACAAAAGAAGAGCAGCAAAGCTTGCCATAGCACCTCGTTAGTCCATCAATCAATGCACCATGAGTTCCATTACTGCTTTTGAGCCTACCCCAGTGTCGCCAGAACACGATCCTGCGCTGTTTAGTGGAGATGCTATCACCGAAGATGAATTTGCCGCTTTGGACTCATTGTTTGGCGGTGATGAAGGCGACGACTACGCCAACTACGATGGAGATCTAGGGGGTATTTTTGATGTGACAGATGCTTCGTTATTTGGGATCGTGCCCGTATCGGCACCCGATGACTCTGACGGCATGGGTAATCTCGTAGAAGCAATGGAAAAAGCAGGCAAGCCGAGACCAAAGGCGACTGAACTGATTGCGGAAACGTTGAAGGCGTTGCCAACGGAAGAACGAGAGCGAATTGTCAAGGAGCTATATGGAATTGCCAACAGCTTTCCTCCCCCCAACTACCACGCAGACAGCAAGTCAGCATCCTCTATGCAGTACATACCGCAAGATGAAGATGATCCAATTTTTATTGGGCAAAAACTGGAAGAGATGGAGGATCATCTCAAAAAATACAAGTCCTCTCCATCTTGGAACTTGCGGATTACTGCCATTCAAATGGCAGAGTCTCAAAATATGGAGTATGTCCAAAATGCCAAGTTTCGGCTTAAATTCATCCGAGCAGAACGGTATGATGTCAGACGAGCTGCTGCTCGCTTGATTCGATTCTTTGACTTGAAATTGGAACTCTTTGGGGCAGAAGTTCTAACAAGGTCCATCACTCTGAAGGATCTGACAGCTGAAGACCGAGAGACGGTGAAAAAGGGCTATACTCAACGTCTCCCAGTTCGAGATCGTGCAGGCAGGTCTATTTTTTGCCATGTCTTCAATGGGCAAACCTACGAGTCACCAGAAAGTTTCGTAAGTCAAAACAAATACCACTACTTGAGTTGTCATTTTAAAAGTTCCAGCTCCTCACTGGCTGCATTTTGTTGTTGCAGGTTCGAATCATGTGGTACATGAGCAAGTCAGATGAGCAATCTGACAAGCGTGGGACCATCAACATATTCTTCAAGCTCAAGGATTACAAGTTCAAGAACTGCAACAGAGCGTTTGGTGGTACCTTGTTTATAGGACGCATGATGGCTGCTGCACCATGGCGGGCTGATGCCATGCACAAGTTTCTGGAGAACGAGAATTCCTTAGACCTCTCAACAAAAGTGATGAACAAACTGGTGGACTATTGCACTGCGTTCATAGTACCAGAAATTCGGGCCAGAACTAGAATTCATCATGGTGAGCTATTTCGGAGCTCTGCACCTAGCTAACTAACATTTCTGTCCTCCTCACTTCTCTTGTATATCTGTGTATCTTTCATTCTCTCAGGAACTCATGAGGACTGGGTCAAAGTCCTGATGTCGTTTGGAATTCCGGCCGACGTTATCCCGCTAACCTACAGCTACAAAATCAAAACAAAAAATCATCTGGAGTATCTGGCTATGCGAGCCAAAGCAGAGGAAATCATGGAGCGTTACCCTGGTACCAATCAAGATATTTTGATAGACCTTCCCGCTCGCAGTGATGTACTGTTGGGAAAGGGGAAACCCATTCAGTTCTCAAGCGGCAATCAACGTCTGATGACCATTATTGACAGTTATTTGGACCAGTACCACAACAAATGCTCCAAGCATGAGAAGACTGAGTTGACTGCTGAAATTGTCAGCATGCTAAAAGACAGCGGAGTGAGGTTTCTTTGCAAAGATAGTGGCATCTGGCTTGAGGTAACCGACGACTTGGCAAGGGGCAAGATTAGCTACATGTTCCGCCACCAACGGGGAAGGACACCTGCTAAGAATGGAATAAGCGCGACAGGAGTGGTTCGTCAAGTACCCTCTGGAGACGAGAACAAGACAGATGCGGCAGCCTTGGCCAATGATTCCAAGCGTGTCAGGGTGGGAGCCTAGCTAAATTGGTGGACCGAAGACAGCAAAATAGCAAAAAACAGATGTATCTCGCTCGCAGTAGTCGCTGGAAACAATGCATCGCAAAACACAACAAATCGACGACAAAAAAAGTCACGAAGGAAGCTGCCTGTTTGTGACATACAAAACGATGGGGGTGTCAGGTTGGCTGCTGGTGAATTTTAGCTTCGATACCATAGGTGCTATCAACATGATAGCTTAGCTTTATTGGACTATCGTACACAATTGACAGAGCTAGCTAGATCGATGCATGCCATTCATTTGGACTAATTTGGAGCAGCCAACGCACGAAGCTCAATTCAAGCTGCTGGCAGCCAAGGCTGGGAGGGTGTCCCGTTTCGTGATAAACGTTTCACTCTGTAGCTGGGCCAAAACATCACAGTGCAACTTCCTCACTCGGTGAGTGCAAGGCATAGAAAGCAACGAATAATATTAACGCCCTTCAAGAAGGAGGCGCGTATCTTCGCACCGAAAACATGGCAAAGCGAATAATCGCGCCTGCAAACCTTCTAAGCTTATAGCACCAAGTTGATAGCTTCTACAGCAGCAACCAATGTGCCAGCTGGAAAGAGCGTATCTTTTTGTATATGTAGGGTTATGGGTGCCAAGTGCGTGGCACCAAGCGTGGCCAAGTTACAAGGCATTGAAAGCATCGCTGAATGTAGTTGTTGCGATGACTGCCACTCGCTCAACATGGAAGGCTTACACAACACCCAAGACGGACAGGCAAACTCACAGGCAGTATCCTATAGTCACCATGACACCTTTAGGAGAGAGCTTGTTGATGTTGGGGGACTTGCGGCGCCTGCTCTGCTTGCAGGAAGAACAAGGGAAGAAGAACAAGAAAATCGAAGTGGTCACGCGGAATCTCAAGCACAAGCAATAGTGGAAGAACCCACTGTACCAGAGCAACAGCAGCCTCCACAGAACAAGACAAAAAAGACACGGAACAAGAAGAAATACGAAAACAGGAAGTTGACTGCCTTGTACACACTCTTCCTAAAGCCCGAATGTCTGCAGGATCTTGAAGAAGAATTCGGGGATGATGGGAAAAACCTACAGATTGAGTGAAGAGTAAAGCAATGCCCCCAAGGCAGCAATGGCAATAAGTTTCGCATTCAATGGAACTTCAAACAGCTGCAGGGTCTGAAAGAAGATTGGATTCGAGAGTCAATTCCTAAGGAAGAGGTGGTGCTGAAGAATGGAACAGATATTCTTTATGAAGCATTTGACCGGTTCGAAAGTAGTGATTGTTGTTTGCTAGTAATACTGCAGCTTATTGGGGAGTAATTTGGTTTTAGATTAAGCTGAAAAGCAAAAGTGAGGATTTTCTGGTGGTGCATAGCAATTCTTGTGATTGAATTGGATATAAGGACCCCCGTAGCACTTTAGACCTAAAACTCCCTTGGTTCCTTGCATGATGAATTTACATGCGAACCGGACTAGATGATTAATACACGAGTCAATAGTAAAGAGGTGTCAGGTATGTTTCCTCCAACACACTCCTGCACGGTGCCCTAAGTGGCTACCGTGGAACGAATAAAATAAATTAGGCAATCAAACAAGGGGTGGATGCCCCATGATGAAAGCCCTGTGCTCGTGGAAGAGCTTGCCCTGAAGGGGCTTCGTGAAAAAATCTCCACGCATCTCCAAGGTTGGGCAGTACACAACTCTAAGGTTGCCTTTCCCAATCTGATCATGAATAAAAAAGAAACGAATGTTGATAGCCCGAGTTCTTTTGCCCGAACTGCCTTTGCCATTCTCTGCGAGAATGATCGTGCTTTTGTTGTCCTGCATAAGGATGTTGTCCTTCACAACGATCCCCTGCTCTTCAAGGAACAACTTTGCCCACAACATGGGCGACATGACATCGTCAGCTCCAATCAGTTCCGCTTCAGTGCTGCTTCTTGAGTTGAGCTTCTGTTTCGCGGATACAGAAAGCACCGCTCCTCTTCCAAAGGACATGACTCCTCCTGTATGGGAACGGTAATCAGGATGGACTGCAAATGATGCATCCACCCACCAAGTGATGACACGGATATCATCAACATGGAGTATCAACTTGTCCTCCACTGTTTGGTCCAGGAACTTCAATCCTTGGATCAACTTGCCCCAGTCATCAACTGTGGGATTCCTCACACGTGTACAGAGAACAATTGTCAGTGTTTGAACATCTGGTCGTGCTCTCTTGCACGCGAACAACAGCTTGGCTGCGTTGGTGTGATAGATTTCTCTGGTCTTGTCATCCAAAGCAGCTCCATCACAGTTCTGCAATGATGAGTAAAAACCAAATGCCACAGCTTTGGCACCAACAGCTTGTTTCAAAGCAGCACCAAAGACCATATGAAAGCCACTTTCAATCTCATAAGAAATTCCATCTTCTTCAGTTTGAGTTTTTTCCGTCTCCTTGATAAGAGGAATTGGCTCAAACTGGTGGGAAATTGTTGAGTTAGAGATGTCATCCATTAACCAGAACGATTTCATAGTATCACGCTTATGGAACCAGTTGTTGAATAGATATCCCTCACGAGAATCCATATTCATTGTGAAGAAGTCATATTGGAACAGAGGATTAGATGAATATTCTTGGTGAAAAGGGACACCAAAATTCATGTCATTAGAGTGGATCACCATAGTTTTGATCGTCTTTGCTGGGGTCAGTATGAGAATGTTCAGATTAGAGGAAGAAGCTGCCTTTTCTAGCTTGACTTTGTGATAAAACTTTTTAAATGAAGCACAGTTCTTTTGTTTTTTGGTGGGCTGACCAGCATCCCCATCTGAGACATGCTCATTGTCAACATTTGTTGCCATGGCTAAGGAATTGTTAGAAAGCGTTAAATTCGGGCATAGATTCTGATGGACTTAGAGAAAATTATGAGCTAAACTATGGGCTAAACTGAAATTGATTAGGCTAATCGAATTGATTAGCATAATCAGTTTAAATACTGATTATGCTAATCAGTTGGAGAGCATGGCCAGTTGAGTCTGGTCACATTTGTTCGATTAGGCTAATCAAAAAAATTATTGATTAGGCTAATCAAAAAAAAATGCGTGCCATATCATGCTACCCCCTTTTAGTACAGTAAATCTCTCTTCCTCTATGAACAGCATAAAGATGTCCTTCTATGACTGGATCATCAGAGCTCTTAAGTCTCGTGCTCTTGGCATCACAAGAACGAAGAGGGGCGCAGCTTCCTTCCCCCAGAAGTGGCGAGTTGCCGAGATTTCCGATGACTGCATGGGATCATCACCCACAACGTAACCACAACATCACCCACAACGAGAAAGAAGAACAAAGCAAGCTTGCATGCTGGACTCTGACTTCGGCACAACACAAACACAACAACATCAAACACTCAACCATCGGAAGCAAGAGAGTACACTCGTA